TAATTATTATGTATATATCATGATGATACATCTGAAGATGAGATTTGCTGTTTCCATGTTTTTGCCACACTCTAAAATTCTGTCCATCCCAAGTGTTTTCTCATCCCTAATCTTTCTGAGACACCCACAAAGAAAGCAGGATTACTGTGATGTTTGATGTGACCTGTCAGCTCTGTGAAAGAACACAGAAAAAAAAACTGAAAAATGAACCAGTGATATATCATCCTCAGCCCTGAGAGATCCACAATAATCTCACTGTAACATCACCGTATTTAATCTTGTAGCCATTGTATCTGGAGTAATCAGAGGATTATGCCTGAGAAGAATTTCAGCATCTCTTTACAACACCACCACCACCACAGTTTCTTTTTCTGTGTCTATCTGTACACATCAAAATCAGAGTGAGGACACGCTGTGTTGGAGCTGTACAACTCTGAGAAGTGTTGACAGAGTGAATCAACAGTTGCTCAGTTGCTGGAGCAGATTTTAATGTAAAAAAGAACGGCAAAGAGGCAGCTGAGTGCACTTTTGTGTTGCTGTCAGCATCAGCAGTAGACCGGCACTCTGAGGAGCAGACTAAATATGGCAGGCCTGGTTGAACCACATCCTGCAGATGAGGAAACCATAGCAACCGTAATGCAGTACCATGGTGACTACAGGAGGCCTGCTAGGTGACAGACCTCAGACTCAGGAAGACAACAGGAAGCCTCAAAGCCAGCTCTCTCTCTTTTTTTTTTTTACAAGCATCCAGTGTGTTTGACTTACTTTCCACAAAAAGAAAAGCAATTCAAAGAAAATGGTGAATAAAAAGTGTGTTTTCACTCTTCAAGTGCTCATCTGTGTTTGGAGCTGAAGTGAATCGAATGAGAGAGCACCAACTCCATAACAGGAGAGCAAGAGGACAGCATTAACCAGCACTCTACATACGGGAAGGAATACTTGAGTGTATAAAGAAGTAGGTCAGAAACAGTATGTGTTTGCTCATGTATGTACTACATACATGTGCCTGTGTGTGTATGTGTACGTGTGTGTGTGTGCAGAACCCCTTCGAGGATGCACTGCAGAGAGCAGATTTCTAGGGATTTGGAAGGATTTCAAGATTATAACATGATTACAGCAGACAGCCATGGATGAAACATGTTGGAAATTGAGATGTAAATCTCATGTGCAGCTCAGTTAAGTCAGTGTAAGGAGGTCTTCACTCATCACTCTGAACATCTATCATATTCATTCTCAATCCATCTGTATCTGTGCAGCCAGCACTAGATTTTGCAGTTATAAATATTCAAATTATATCAGAAGAAGTCTGTCAGTGTTCAGAAATATCTAATGAAAAACAAAATGCTTGAGTCTAACAAGGATGAGTTGCTGTATATGTATATAGATATGCACTCTGAACAAAAATTGCCCATTTTTTACAGGTTACAGTTAAAGATCTAAGTTTTTTATGCAGACAAAAGAATCATTTCTCTCAAATTTTGGTCTCAAACTTGTTCGTGTTCATAAGCACCTCTCCTCTTCCAAGATGATCCATCCACCTGACAGGTGTGGCATATCAACATGCTTATTATTCAGCATTTTGACTACACAGGTTTTCCTTGGGATGGTTACGATAAAAGGATGCTCTAAAACTGTGGTTCCCAACTGGTCCAGCCACGGGGTCCAGATTTCTCCTTTGTCATTGGTTCAAAGTCCACACATATTTGTGCTTGGCCATGTCATGGAGCCAGTTTGCTGTCTCTGTTAAGTCTGTCAGTCAATCACTCTACAACAGGAAATGACACTTCAAAACAAAAGCTTGTGAGGAAAATCACTACTTCAAAAATAAAATGCATTTTTCACAAACCTGACATGTTCACGAGTCACTTGTGGTCCATTCAGAATGGACCCGTGACCCACTTTTGGACCGTGACCCACCAGTTGGGAAGCATTGCTCTAAAATGTGCTGCTTTATCATGACAAAAAATAGATTTATTAGGATTTAACATGACTTGTGTTACAGAAATGCATTTTTTTTTGGTCACAGAAACCCCAGAGAAGCAGCCAGTATCCCCTGTAACCACCATTTGCCCCATGCAGCGCGACACATCTCCTTCACATAGAGTCCATCAGCTTGTTGATTATGGCCTGTGGGATGTTGACCCACTTCTCTTCAATGGCTGTGTGAAGTTGCTGGATATTGGCAGGAATTGGAACATGCTGTCACACACACTCATCCAGAGAATCATCCTCAGTGGGTGAAATGTCTGGTGAGTATGCATGTCATGCAAGAAACAGGATGTTTTCAGCTTCCAGGAATTGCGTAAAGATCTTTGCAACACGGTGCCGTGCATTATCATCGCTGCAACATGAGGTCATGGCGACGGATGAATGGCATGATGATGGGTCTCAGGATCTCGTTGCGATATCGCTGTGCATCCAAACTGCAGTCAATAAAATGCACCTGTGTTTGTTGTCCATAGCTCACGCCAGCCCATTCCATAACCCCTCTGCTCACAGTGCTGGCATTTGCAAACCACTTGCCCTCATGACGCCGCACGCGCCGTCTGCCATCTGTCCAACACCGTGTAAACTGGGATTCATCCGTGGAGAGCACGCTTCTCTACAGTGCCAGACGCCATCGAAGCTGAGCAGTTTTCCACTCAATGGCGATGAACTGCTGTCAGGTCAAGAACCTGTTGGGGATGACGAGCATGTAGATGAGCTTCCCTCAGATGATTTTACAGAAATTCTTCAGTTGTGCAAACCTGGTTTACATTGGTCTGCGGTGGTGAAGCTGGTTGGATGTACTGCCAAATTCACGGAAACAACATCGAAGACAGCTTGCGGTTGTGAAATGAACATTCAGATATATACACACACATACATGCATGGGATTTTGTGTGTGATCTCAGGTTTGATTTGAATGTTGTTTTGTGGCTGTTTTCCCCGTTAAAATGGCAACAAACAGATGGAAGTAAACACAGCCCTTTTTGATTCTTCCAAAAAGTTCACTCTTTTCAGATGTAAGCATTTTGTTTTTTTATTAAATATTCCCAACAGCTGCATTCCGTATGTAATTTTATACATCATACATAAACATATCTATGCATATAATCACAGACAACACACAAATACAATCCTACTAAAAATAACCCTTGTTGATGTAAACAACTAGAGCAAGCATAATGTACCACTGCACATCGCCACAGAAAGATGCGCACACACACACACACACACACACACACACAAACGGCTCCAGAGCAGCTCAGCGTGGAGTTATATGATGCCGTGTCCCACAGTGAGGCAGACACACACAGGCCAGATCAGCGGCACGTAGCAGCTAATCTAACTGATAAGGCACATAATCTCAGGGAGCCACTGAACCACACCCCTCATACGCACACACACACATGTACACACTGCTATGGGGCACTGCCAGATTCAACCTGGGGGACTTGGCACAGAGCTCTAAGCTAACACTGATAGTAAGTGAAGACTTGTTCCATCTGACCTTCTGATTTGGCTCACAGCCCCCTGTAGGAATACTCACTTTCTATTATAAGAACCAGAACCCCTTGCGTCGGATAAACTATTGAACCAGAGGAAGGCAGCAGTAGTGCAGCACAGACTTCCCTAACAAGATTTAAAGTTTAGTTGCTACTTTTAGTTTCACTTGGGTGAGCTGTTGGTTATAGTCAAAGCTCACTGCAGTTAAAAAAAGGGCTTAGAGAGGAACAGTTAGATGACCTGCACGTCTGCGAAACAGAGGAAAGGTGAGAGAATTGTAGTTTAACATGAAATATTCATGAAGACATGTTGTGGGTCGTCACCTCTACAAGAGCGAGAGGTTGCTGTGGGCAGGAACACGGGAGCATGAGTATCACCTTGTGTTCATTTAGCAGAAGTTTATTGTCTTAATTAGAATATGGTAATGACCAGGACCTGTCTTAAAAGGCCTTTATTAACTCCTGACTGAGAAACTATTTGGACAAGATGACAGATTGTGTCACACGGCTGCTTGTTGCCGGAGAATAATTTTGTTCAGGATCACAGATAATTAAAAAGGACACAGCTTAATTGTTTTAAAGCTGGTGTAATTAAGACAGAGGTCGGTCAGAACACCCTTCAACAAACACGGAAGAATATTATACAGTGCACAGATAATAGAGCTATTTTGCAGAACATATTTCTCAGCATTGATCCACATTCTGATCCAGTTTCTGTTCCCACATGTCATCAATATCTGTATGCCCAGTTGTATTTTGTATTTTGATCTGACTGCTCAGCTCCTGCTTTCCTGGGACGCTGTGATACAAGCAGTCTTGGCTCTCTAGCATCTGGCAATCCTGCAATGTGTCAGGGTTGTTGCTCTGGACAGTGTCACTCCTCTGCTGGTCAGAAATATGACTCTCCAGTTTATAGTTACCGAGACCTCTGCTCTCTACTCTTTGTTGGCTGTGACTCTTGCTAGCAAGAATACTGTCCTGCCGCTGGCCGTCAGCAGGGCTGTAGCCTTCCATGCCAGGATAACGCTCCTTCTGCCCCTGCTGAGTGGTGCTGCTGTCTGCTTTCATACTGCTGCTTGTCCCGTCTTTTGACTTGCTGTCATGCTGCCGGCTCTGTCTGATGTGGCCTAATGTGATTTGGAGCTCACTGAGGCGCTGTGATACATAGCGTCTCTTCAGTTCCAGCAGGACTGTTCCATTACGACTCAGGCTCGGCATGCTTGTAGGTGTTGCCCTCTGCATGGGGATATATCACAGACAATACATTATCCATGATTTGTGGTAAAATATATCAATGAATCCATGCACGTAGTCATAACTAATGAAGCAAATATGCAAATACAGGCACATATATTCATGCATAATGATTCACACATTTTTCTTTTTAGTCAGGGCTGAACAGGAGCAAATGAACATGAACACAGCATGATGCTTGAATGAGTCAACTAAATTTATTAATGTAATATGCCACCTACAGTATGTATGTAATATGTATGAAATGCTACAGTGAGTAGTGAGGAAGTAAAAATGTCAGAAATGAACTATTAACAGATTATTCTCTAAGCCCCTCACATCACAAAATTAAATTATCATGCAGATTAGTTTTCTGGATTATGTCCTCATACATGAAATGTATAGTATTCTATATAATTACCGCAGAACGGTCACCAGCACTGTTCTCTCTCTCCTTTAGCCATGTGCTCATTTGAGCTCTCTTCTGTAGCTGCACGCTCAGCTGCAAGAAAGACTCATTCATACGGTCAATTTCTTCTTCTATGCAGGACATCTGTGATAAAGGAAATGGTAAAGTCACGTGTGGTGTTGAGGAACAGTTACTGTTCTCTACAGTTTCAAGATAGTCTATGATTTGTAGCGTGGTAGAGTGGTACCTGCATCGGTGTCCCTTTTGGTGGTAAGCCTGCAGAAAGTAAACAAGATATTTGATTGTCGGTGAAGATTCTCAGTCGTCCAGGTCATGGTAATCGTTAAGTGCTATATCGTAGGCAACTGGGCTTGCTTGCATTCTTGCGTTCAGTTCTTCCAGAACTGAAGAAGCTTCTTGGATGAGAGGCGAAACATCTTCAAGAAACGCAAGCAAGTCCAGTCGCCTACAATAAAGCACTTACGAAGATATTTAATCCTAAAAATGTATTTTGTGGGTTCTTATGAATGCTTGCACACCCCTGCATATGTTTGACCAATAAAATCCTTTGTTCCAACTACTGTCATACCTCTAGCTCAGTTAGCTTGTAATTAAAATGGTAAATGTCTTATCAATTTGGTTTCTGCTTAGCTGAGATACAATGAAGATGCTAATGTAGCTGATACGCACTTGCTAGTTGTATGTTGTTCAAGAAATGTTATAAGTTGGTAATGGTCTCAAACAAACAGAGGCACATGGCTGGTAATTATGCAGAATGATGTCATCGGACCAGTGGGTGCTAGCCTGTTGGACCGTAATCAAACAATCCTTCTTCCCTGGTTGGCATTATGTAATGTTCCATGCAGTAGTGATATAACAATGGTAGTGAGGGCCCTAAGAAGAACAATCTACTCATATTTCTTGCTCCTCCAGTCCGCATGTCAAAGTATCCTTGGGCAAGATACTCAATCAATCAATCAATCAATCAATCACTTTTATTTATAAAGCCCAATATCACAAATCACAATTTGCCTCACAGGGCTTTACAGCATACGACATACCTCTGTCCTTAGGACCCTCACAGCGGATAAGGAAAAACTCCCCCCAAAAAAAACCTTTAAAGGGGAAAAAAAACTAAATACTGAATACTGAACCCCATATTGCTCCCGATGGCTGTTCCATTGGTGTGTGATTGTGTTAAAGCTGTGAACGGTAGCCTCGGCCACCAGTATGTGAATTTGTGAATGTGACTCATAGTGTAAAAAGCACTTTGAGTGGTCGGAAAACACTAGAGAGGTGCTATACAAGTGCAAGTCCATTTGTCAGATCGGAGATCTGATGTCTGGAGCAACCAAATGGTGTAGTCGGTAAGTTACCAAGAGGTGTAGTTCCGGGCCATTACTCTTTGAAACTGCAAGGAGAGTGTATTTTTCAGAGAAAAATGGAACTTGGAAGCAATGGGCGTTTAATTTCCGGATGAAATTCTGTGTCTGAATAGGTTTTTGTTGTGTGGAGTGGACAAAGGCACTATTTAGGAGGAAACTTTTTTTTCTTGACAATAATTTGCACCAGACCCTGTGTGCATAGTTGTCTCTCTCTACAGGCGAATATTCCATATTTCCGCTCAACATTTTCACATCGCACTGGTGATGTCTTAATGGAATCTGCATTGATCTATTAACACACAACTGAAACACTTAGTATATGATTATTGTGTATCTAGGAGAAACACAGCCTCCTATTGCCTTCAGAATAGCTTCAGTGCTTATTGGCATGCTGCCATTAAAGTCATGAACTGTTTGTGTTGAGTTACTGGTCCATTCTTCTGGAACAAAAGCTCTTTAGTTGATGGAAGTGAAAATCGACTTCACTCTTTTTCTTTTCAGGACTTCCGATAATAGTTTAATGATGTTTAGGCCTTGTGAATGGGGAGGAATAGAAAAGTGTCTGACTTCAATCTAAAATCACAATTAAATGGGTTTATTAGTATATATTTATATAATGTGGAAACATTATGGGTTTCACTAAATAGCCTGCCGTTATGGATTAATGGCTCCATGGCAGGAAATTGTATTCTGAAAGCATTAAACCCATCATCACCACATAAAAAAAACAGTGTGCAAGACTGCTGTTCAGACCTTGATATGTTTTCCATTGATTGAAAGTCAAGAGGCTGTGCGCCAAGGTATTTTATTTGGTATTCTGACTATGAATGTCATAAATATCATGTTTATTTTTCCTAAATTAAGTAATTTAGCAATTATCCATTCTCTAAATGGTGATATTTTCAATCACTTTTTGTTTGTTGTTGATGCATGTCTCGTGCCATTGCCATTGCAGTGATAGATGCATAGTGTCAAACTAAGGGGCTAGGGTTCAATCAATTGTCTTACCTGTGTCTGCACCCCCAGTTGAACTCTGTTTGAGGTTTGTGATGAGCTGTTCTAATTTGAAATATTTGTATTTCTGAAGTCTAAATTGGAAGACAGGCAGAAAAGTGTTAAATTACATAATTTTGTTTCAAAGGAACATTATAAACTCTGCTGAAGGTCTTCTTTTTATCACCAACCTGCTTGCTAATAGCTGCTGAGAGAACTGCGCTTCAGTGGGAACTGTAATGTTGAGAAATTCCTCAACCAATGCCCCATGCTGCCCATCTGAAGCGTTGAATTTTGACTGTGAACAGGAAGCATAAAACAGTGATCTGTAGCCTCTCCACGCAGTATGACGGATGATGTGTGAGGCCTAAATAGCACTTACTCACCTCCGCTGTGTTCCATTTGAAAGAGAAGTTGAACAGCTGAAGGCTTAAAGCTGAAATGGCCTCGTGGAGAGCTTGCATAAAGCTCTGGGGTTTGGATCCTGGATAAAAAAAGAAAAACAAATATCATATTGTTTCCAAAGAAGATTACATACTTTGTGCTTTTTAAGGATGATTGCCAAAGCTAGTGTGCTGTATTACATGAATTGTTGCCAAACAATGACACAAGACTGGCTCTTCGGACTCTCTTCTATACTATCTGTCTGATTACCTGATGCTATGTAGGCCATGGACTGCAGAATAGTCGCAATGAAATGTCCCACATGCTGAAGCTTTGCCTCTGACAGATAAAGGATTTGATTGGATGCATCGAAATAAAAGTCCTGTGAGCAATGTGCCAACATATCCTTGTTAGAGGGAGACGAAGAAACAGGGATTGACTTGGCCAGCAGCAGCAGCACAGAGGGGAACAGCGGGCAGTTTGCAAGTGACTGCATCACCTGGCAGCCAAACAGGAAAACGGCAGAGTGCTGAGGTGAGAGGTTATCCAATGCAGTTGGGATAAGTTGCCCATCATGGTTCTCCTGGACAGAATGCTCTGGAGCTGCTAAAACGGAGGGAAATGCTGCATTTTAGTTTTCATATTTACCATAATTCTATGTCACATTAATTATGAGTTTAATTTATCTTTCTTGGGCCTTCTGTCATCATGCTTCTGTACCATTGTGGAGAGGCTGACTAGACTCAGCTGTGTTAAGGCTCTGTAAAGACTGTTGGATCTCCTGCAGCGTCTTGAATAGAGGTGATATGCTGACCAGCTTGGACAGGTTGTGGTCGCTTAGACAAGGAGCTGTGCTCTGTGAATGGACTGCCAAAGACAGGATCATCTCACTGTGGTGAATTACATCCTGAATGTCTCGAAAATTCAATAAACCTTGGTCTAGATTGTTCCTTACCTGGCTCTGCTTTGGTCATATTCATTGATGAAAACTGTGTACATATAAGACAAAATTATTATCCACTTAATTATGTCAAGATATGCTTCAAACCACAGACTGTATATAAAGATAGACAAAGACAGCTCCCCAAAAGTGAAGCCAAAACATCTCAGTCACCCTCTGGTGGCTGGTTGCAGTACAGGTCATAAAGCCCGCCCCCTCTATGTCCATGGATGGGACATGGGCCAAACTGAAACTGAAAACTGAAAGAGCACACCAAATAAAAAATTTTTCAAAGATGTTTTCAGTCATTTAAGGTAGGTTTTATCATGCTGCTGTATGTTTGAGTGTTCATTTTTCTGATAAGTTTGGTTTTAATTAGTTATTTAATGCTATAAAACAGGGAGTTTACAACAAGATTGACACCAGTGTGAGCCAACTGGTGGGCTTGCATTCAGTGGTGCTGCTCATAATTGGTTCATCGCTACTGCTCAGACTCTGACTCCAAATGACATCACCAGAGCAAGATGGCAGCTGCTTTTTTTTGCTGCTATTTTAGCTTCACTTCTGTACAGTGGGTGGTAAATGGAGACACGTCATCCATCTTTATATACAGTCTATGCTACAAACACAATGAATGCCACTACAGTACCTGTGTATAGCACATATTGGTGTCACCGGGCTGTGTGTATCCTGCTTGCGGTTCACATTCTCTGGCATCATGAGGACCGCTGAGACAGTACAGGGGACCAGGCAAATCCTGGTTCTGCCAAGCCTCTCCTGTCAGCCTGCATAAGAGAGCTTCCACTGACCTGAGCACAGCTCCCAGTAATGCTATAGAGGCCTCAGCTGGGGTGATGGGGTTGTGCAGTGGCATGCAAGACAGAGTTCAAAGAAAAACATTTAATTAAGGATGCCAAAGTTTTCAGCCTCTGCGGTAGTGTAGTTTTCTCTCACACCACTTGAATTATAATATGCTAAAATGTACTTATGGATTTTTTTTGCCCAATGATGCCAAAAACCCACAAAAAATAAAATAAAACCACCTCCTCAGCTTTAATCAACACATAATCCACCATGAAACCACAATTTTGTTTTTGCACTATTTTGTTATTTTTATACTTTGGTTCTTTGTGCTATGCTAAGCTTAACAGTAGCTTTACATTTTTAATAGACAGAGAAAGAGGTATAAATCCTCTCATCTAACTCTCAACAATAAAGTACAAGGTATTCCTTTTATCATCTTGGTTTAATGATTAGACAAGTTTGTCTTGTTTCTTCAAAAGAAGATTTTTTTTCTTTGCCCATTGACTATTGCTTTGAAAAGTTTCTCTAACGAAATCTGTTCCCATCATTAAGTTTTACCTTGTGTATCTCTGCCTCCTGCACTGCTGTTAGATGGTTTATCTCTCATTGCATTGTGGACGAGCAGCTCCTTAAGAAGACTCAGTTTTTTGTGATCCATACTGTCGAAGAAATTCTGAAATAAAATATACGATTTTAATTGCGTTTTGTGGCACTTGAGTCTTGAATATTACATATTTTAATAGTCGATTCTTTCTTGAAATAATTATTTGATGCCTTAACTCCACCATCAAAAAACTCACCTTGAGTGTTTCAGTCTGCTGACAAATATTTCTGTAAAACTCCTGTGTGTCTTTGCGGTGTCGAGCCAGTTGTGAGGCTATGTGCAGGTTCTGATCCTCTAGTTTGTCATACAAAGTCTTCACATTTAACTCCTCCAAATCACAGCGCCCTGACAGACTTCCTAAACGGGAGCAGTAAATGTCAATAATAAATGGGCTGAAAGAAAAGGAAAAAGTCTCATCCAAGATACTCTCCTGATGAATGGCTGCACCTTGAAATCAAAAGCTTCCTTAACTGGGCGCCATAACAATTCAGTGGAGCCTCTCTAGCTTTTTAGACAGTCCAGATGGAGCATGCAATGGATGATAAGTACTTGAATTTAAATTGCAGAGGCTAAACTAGAGAGCCAGAGATAACAGCACAAGTCATTTAAGTGTGATATTGGCCATTATTTTCTTTATCATCAATCAAATGGGGAAAGGGCTGTTAACTGCAACCTGGTCGTGCGTGATGGTTTCATAATGACTCGGCCATTGGGCATTTAAACGCCCTATCAAGTCGCATGAATAATGCAATGAACACTAAGTGAGAAACATTAAAGCCAACTCTATATCTAAGTTATTTCAAGCATTACCACAGAGCAGATAAAAACAATGGCAAATATATTGAAAACCAGTCAAATGGCATTGTGAAGACTTTTCTGGGAACATTTGCAAAGACTGATTTATGGCCAGGTTATTAAACAGAAGCAGAAAAACATAAAAACGGATGAGTTAATCACATATACTGTGTATTCTTTTAGCCCTGCTGGCAGCGCGGCTCTATAGCATGGATGCATAAAGAGAATTCGATACAACCTTGGAGGCTGTTTATTCTGATGAAGCCAAAAAAGTTCAACTGCCACATATAAAGTTACCTGGACTATCAGCACTGCTTCTGCACTCTGTAAGCCCTTAGAGCAGGCACACTAGAGACTTCTGCCTGCCAAGCACTTAGCACTCTGCTAACTTGAATGGGGATAAAATGATTCATTACTGCAGTTCTTCTACACTTTCCAAATGTTATCAGACTGAATGGATCAAATTCTGATAATGAAATGAGTCATTTTGTGGGGGTTGTGACACTCAAAACAAATTAACCACTGATTTACAGATGTGTCTTTGCCCATTTAAGTCAATGGGAAAAAGTATTTTCGGGCCAAATGGCAGCACGTGACAGATGTAATTACACTGTTTGGCCACTATGAAAATTGGCTTTAAAGCCTGGCACATTACCTATGGGCCTGCTCTATGGATGGCAATGACGGGTTCTCAGGGGTTTGGTATGTCTACTACCTTGATCCAGACTGAAATAGACAGGAATTTGTCCAGCACTTTGCTTTGTGACTGAACACCAGTGAAGTCAATGACATTCCCATCAGCCTAAGCCCTTCTTTGTGATTAGTGCTAATTGGCAAACGTTAGCATACTGTGAAACTAAACTAAGACGGTGAACATGGTAAATATTATACCTGCTTAAGCACAGAATAATAAACTGTGAGCTTACCTCCTTTTGAAATAGCAGGCTCCTCAGCTTCTGCTCCCTCTCCTACACCTCTACTGCCCAGGAAGCCACCTGGGCTTGGGACAGCTATGCTAAAACACAAATACAAAGCCACGCGTATAACATAGGTTATGCATTTTACATGGTTTATATAGAGAGGTTGACCTGATAAATGAGACAGAATATATCATTAAGGGTACATACAGGACATAGTAGCCTATGTGCTACAAGGAAACCCAACATCAGTGTCCAGGATAAAACACACACACCATCACTTCTGATCTCAAGCCAACAGACCTGTCTCCACTGCAAACACAATCCGCTGGACAGAAGGGCTCCCCAAGGCTGCGCCACTTTGGCTTAGTCCTCCACTGGGAGACAAGTTTTGTTTTGCCCGGTCGCAGAACTAGCACTGTGGTGGTCAACACCACAACGACAACCAGCAGCAGACTCAGGATCCCTACACACAGTCAGTGTCATGATAAAATAACAAGCAAACTCATTACAGCCAGGCACCTGCATGATAAAATGTTGAGTCAGCATTAATAGTGAACATTAAGGATACACACCTGCTATCACTCCCCAGTCAGGTAGAAGGTTGAGTCTGTGCTGCTTGACAATACCGTACTTAACCAGCTGTGCCGGGGTCATGGGCTGGAAGACGGAGGCCCGAGGGTCACACTCTGTCCCCTCCTCACTGACCACAACCACAATGCTCCACTCTGGGACAGCGCTGTCAACAAACACATACTTCCCTGTCTCTAAAAACACATGGGCAAACCTGAGAAAAGGAGAGGAACAGAGAAAAGCTTGTGGTATAGAGGGGATTTGGTCACAAAATTAGAATTCAGATAATCAACGCTTGAGGCTCCTACCTACAGATTCAACTATACCTGGTGGAGTTGAAGCTTGTCTGCTTCATGAGTATCTGCAGACGTCTGAAGGCACCAAAGTCCCAGCTGGGATTACTGTTAAACAGGTGGTCCTTCTGGTACAGCGGGAAGTGGCTGAGATGGCGGTCTTTGGGATAAAAAGAAAGTTACCGCAAGGTGTGTTTAAAGCAAAAGGAAATCCCACTGTCATGATGTAAAAACTAACATGAAGGTAAACAAAATCGGTACCAGTGTGGTTGATGGTGAGATGGAAAATGAGCATGTCACCAGAGGAGAGACAGGCGATGGGGTTGGGGATACGAGGAAGGACAGCTAGGTTGGCATCATCATCATCCTCATCATGTCCTGTGTCTCTCTTCTTTCTGGGTCTTGTATTCAGGAGTTCTATTGGTCCTGAATAAAGGTAAATCTGTGCTCAGGGTTTAGACGATCACTTTGTTCCTTTAAATGATGCTGAATACAGACATTAAATGGTTTGGTTAAAATTATTACAAAACCAGGCACCTGTCAGAAACTGATTGATGAGCTCTGTCTGTGTGGGAATCCAACCAAACACCCCGTCGGGGTCGAACTGGACCAAATGGATTTTACCAATACTCGTTGCATGGATATCTGGTCCTAAAACATTCATTACAGTCTGGAAGTAAACAGACACAAGCTCAATAAGAACTGCTACTACTACATAAATTCAAGAAATAAGATGACAAGATATCGATAAGTGATTTGGAGATGTCTTCTCTCATTAAACTGATGAGGCATCCTTTTGCATTTCATTGGAAAACCAATAAGAATATTTATGTCATATTGTGTTCGTTGTTCGATGTGCTTTAATGTCTATTTTAAATAGTTGTACATTACATATTTAACTTTTGTTTCAATGGCTAGACATGAAGATTATGGTAAAAATAATGGCTGAATTTATCTCTGCTTTATGATAAAGCAGTGACCAGGTGTCAGACTGTAAGCAGATTCATCCAAGGGGACACAGCACCTAAAAAATGCAAATATAGCAATGCAACCAATGAAGGAGAGTAAATCTGGAGTTGGTTTTCACTTTTGTGTTTACAAAAGAAACCAACAATCCTGCATAGTATGCCTTTGAAGTGTAGATAAGGCTCCTCTACTGGAGAAAATACTATTGTGATTAAATGATATTTCACAGACAGCTGTCTAAAAATTTTACAATTCATGGCTGCCAAATATCTCTAAACAGGACTCAACCCAGTGCACACAAAACATTTACATTCATAGGCAATGAAACTACCTTAAATTATGAGACCAAGTAGCTATTTTGTTTGCTAAATCCATTTTCCTGCATGGAGAAAGGCGTTCTTTATCATTTTCCCTTTGCTGTAATGCAATGATATCACCGAATGTGCAGCTGCAACACTTTTCCAGGTGTCCTGCTGAGACTCTGCCTGGCCAAGACCGTGATAAATCCCTCAGCAAGCTTTCCGCCAACTAACCCATCTAGCTACCCTACAGACCGAAAAAGTTTTTTGGCTGCATCAGTACACACAAATATAAGATTTGTGCTTATTCTTATCTGGTTGCAGCAGCTTCCAAAAAATCCTTCCTCTCATTCAAACACACATTTAGTGCAATACATGAGTAAAAAGGTAAATAAGAAACCCATTATCTTGTAAGGTATAGCCAATCATCACTTTGCCAATTGCCCTGTCACCACTCTCTTACTCTGGCCCAGACCATCTTGTCTCTTTCTTTAAGGCTGAGCAGCAGGTGTCCATCTTGCGAGATCTGGGCAGACAGCTGGGGTAGTCTGGAAAGGCAGGAAGTGTTGCAAAGCTCTTCAGCGGACACGTATCGCTCACACTGGCAGCTGGGGCATCAGGAATAGGCAGATAAGACAAGAGACAGAAAGACAGCATATCAGACTATTTACCAATACGAGGTAGTACATTCTTTATTACATCTACCTTTAGTAGTTTCTACATGGTGATTTTTAGGTGTAGTAATTGATTTTGCAAGGTATTTTGAAGGACCACGTTGAATTGAAAAGTATAAAAGATATTCACATGCCCATCTCCACATCCAGACTTCCTCCATGTTGCCCACAGGTGATATTACAGGAGTGGATGGAAGGTGACACACACTCTCTGGATGCTGCCAGACGTACGTGTCCTGTGGCACACCGTCTGTTTGCCTGAAGCACACACACACATACACAAACACACTGCATGTACAGACATCTAAAAGGACTTCAAACACATTGACCTTGCTGGTCGTTACATCATTCATGGCTGAAAACCAGTAGAAGAGTTTTTCCCCCATCTCACAGTGTTACCTCTGAAAAAAATAATTTCAAGGCACAATCAATGCTCAACATTGAGGCAGTGATTTCCACAGGCTGATAATTCATTTGTGGTAGTCAACACCAGAGGACTTCAATAGAAGACACTTGACAGCAGGGTGCTTAGCAACTCTCCATTCACAATTTGTCTTTGAAGCTCAGCATTTTTCCAGTCAATACAACTACACAAGGACAGATCTGTCTGGCAGACTTTCAATCAATCCAAACTTTCAACTGCATTTCCCTAAAAATGTTGAAAGGAAGACATGGTAAATTTAAACTCTGAAAAAAAGCATTTTGGATGGAAGTGAATATATTTGGATGAACTGCCCAGAGATATGAATCACTGGAAATTTGATACAGGAACTGATTATGCTACTGACCTCAGGCTGGCAGTCCAGTTCACTGTCAGAAGTAGAGCTTTTAAAATCCAGTTCATTGTAGAAGATGAAACCAGTTCTGCACAAACATGAACCATCCGAGTGCTGGAATGCACGATTCTTACCAATACAGGTACAAGAAGAAGAACCTGAGGAAACAAGTGTGACACACAGACATATTTCCCTGTGCAGATGAAAAACACTTTTTAAACTGTAAATTAACTTAAAGGGTAGCTCTAGTGTTTTTCAACCAGGACCCTATTTTCCCATGCTTTCATGTCAAAGTGACTAACGGAGACAGCGATTTTTTAGATTGTTCTATTATTGAGCAATAGTGCTGCAGCTGGCAGTGGCAAAACAGGCTGCAATGTAATTACATGGGGCATTTGTGCACCATCAATTTACGTCTACAAAAAGTGCTTGCTTTTGCCACTGACAGGCTCAAATTGTTATTTTAAGTGTCTGGCAACATTATGGAAAGGATCCCTACAGAGATAAACCTTTTTGTTAAAGAATTAACAAATTAACATTTAACCAGAAACAGCTCCAAAATCACTGTCACCATCCACCAGCCTCAATTCAAATAAACAGTCATTTTAGCATTTCAAGAGCCAGCATATTTTCACATCTAACTAGGTGAATCAATGGTTTATTCCAAGAAAACCAGAGCTGATGATTGTAAGAACAATGGAAAGGCAAACCAAAATGTGCTTTTGCATTTAATTTTGTTTCTGATGACTTTGAACAATGTGGTTTTACAATGATAAAATGACAGCAGTAGGGATTTTTGGGGATGTTTCTAGTTAAAAATCTTAAAGTTAAAGTATAAAAATCTTATACTTTAACAAAAAGGTCTGACTCTACAGGGATCCCTTACATAATGTTGTCGGACACTTGCAATGACAATCTGAGCTTGTAAGTGTCAAGATAAGCACTTTCAGTGGAAGTCAATTGATGGTGCACATTTGCCCATTAACGTTACATTGCAGCCTGTTTTGCAGTTGCCTGCTGCAGCAATGTCACTCAATACTTGACCAATTTCAAAAACTGCTGTTTCCATTAGTCACATAGACACAGAGGCACAGAAAAATAAGGTCCAGTCTGAAGAATACCAAATTAACATGATAAGGATATCTAAGAACATCTGATTGGATCTAACCTGCTGGTGAGGTGGAGGAGCTGCCACAGGGAAAACAGGCCTTTTGAGCAGGCAGGTGGTTGAAGGTGCCCACTGGACATGGATGACAGTCATCCATTGTCTTAGCATTAGTGAGATTACCGAAGGAGCCAGGGGGGCATGGTATTGGTTGGGTGGACCCCATGGGACAAATATACCCAAGAGGGCAAGGGAAACTCTTGTAGTGGTCTGTACCTGTTGAATTATAATAAAGTCACACTTTACTCAGAGTTTGCCTATCATAACAACAGACTGTACACATACATTGATATCTGGGATGATTTATGGTGGTGAGTAAGGTACCTGGGGGGCAAAAGTAACCTGGCAGACATGAAAGGCAATGTGGGATGGGGGAAAGGTACGGACGATAGGTGCCCCCCTCACACACACTACAGCAGCTGATTTTGGATCCTCTGAGTCCGCTAGTATTCACAGGCATGGAGCCCCCTTCACAGGACTTCATGGCAGAGCTGTTAGCTGGGCAGTAGTAGGGAAATAGACAGCTGTGGGGCATAGTAACAGGGTTATTTATAAAGCTTTTACCCACATGGTGTACGATCAGGCAAAATTCATTAAGCTTTTCAGTTACATGTCCATGTCAATTTTACAAATGTGTGTTTGCATTCCAGGTGTCAGAGTATTGGACCTTTTATGCACTCACAGTTGTTTGGGGGTCTGGTAGGACTGAGATCCCTCCGGACAGAAATACCCTTCAGGACAGACTTGAGGCTCAGCAGTCTGAGGTCCACAGTATGAGCCAGCTCTGCACAGCCTCTCTGAGACTGCACCTGGATTACGACCAAAAATTCATTACTGCAGTACCTCTTTACTGTCTTCAGGGAGAAAGGTGCTTATTAAAATGAAAGACTCAAAGTTATTGCAAACAGAATATTACACACAATGCCAACATTATACACTGTGTCAATAAACCTACCCATGGGACATTGATAGGAGGCACTGCAGGGGATCCCCTCCTCATTAGGCTTCCCTGTGGCCCGCGGGTCTGGGCAGAAGGTCCCACCTGCACATGGCTCACACTGGCTGGGTGCAGCAGCTCCAGGAAGAGGCCTCTTGGTGCCTGCAGGGCAGAGGATGGGGGGTCCAGACCCACTGCACCAGAAACCAGGTGGGCAAGGACTGCTGGAGTAGTCCGAAAGTCCTGGAAAATAACACTTTTCTGAAAACTGCTCATCATTTCACATGCTATGAGCAAAATAGAAATAAATTTGCTGCATCATCGTCCACACACATTGAGCAGGACCTTAAATGAATAAAAGCGGAACTAATAAGCTCATGAAAGTGACTCCAAAGTTACAACCCACAATTTAAGAAGCCTTTTTTATGGCTACAAAGAACCAGAGGGAGAAGAGGGAAGGAGACCACATACTGGGAGTCCACTATTCTAGATAAAGTAACAATGTGGATTATATTTTGAATACTGTCAAGCATTTTTGAAGAAGATTGAATTTTTTTATATATATAAATCCATTACTAAATCATTACTATAGCCTCAGATATAACAAGTTTTAAATTCAGTGTGTTCAGTCACATTATACCTCCTTCACTCTTATCTCAGGCAGAGGCTCAGGCACTCATATAATAATGTAGGTACATACTGAAATTAATACAACCTTGAGAGGTAATTTTCTTTGATCTGTCCTTACAAATGTAAATTGAACCCACCAGAGAGAGGACTACCAAGGTGTACTTTACACTTCATTATACTGCAGGCACAGGATGCAGTAGAATGAGAATAGAGAAAAATCACCTGTAATGGAAAATGAAGGAATCTGTAATATATGTGTTAAGTTTATATTTTTAATGAGTGGTTGTAGCCTGTTGCGTGGGGTGCAGTATGTCAGACCTGTGCTGTTACAGTGTGAACCAGGAGGGCAGGGCAGGCAGTCACCCTTGCTGCCCGCTCCGGGGGAATCTCGATAGGTGTACAGCGGACATGGCCTGGGTCCTGTCCCTCCGTTAAAGTCACTGCCAGGCAGACCATCGCAGTAATGAGCGACCGGACACAGATGAAGGACTGGGTCTCCTGCAAACACACACACGCCAACATTTAGGAAGGAAAAGAAAAGTTTTGGATTTGTCATGGTGAGGTTATTTTATGCCATATTTGTTATGGTTTTGCCAATCAGTCAAGGAATCCTGTTCAATACTTTATTGATTGCTTTTAAGGCTCATCAAGTACTCGCCCCTGGCTACACTTCAAACCTGTGCACCCTTCATTATCCCATCCTCTGTTGTATTTTTTTTAAGGCAGGGCTCTTTCCAATTCATAGCCTGTGGTTGTAACTGTAATCCAAAGATCCTGCTGGAACCCATTTATAACTCAGTTTACACATGAGACACACAGTGGCTGCAATTAACTATCATGTAGGACAGCAAGCAAACACTATGCTGCTTCCCAAGCATCAGAATTGAAAACCGTCTTCTTGACCAAAAATAGAAATGACCAGTGTCAATTACTGTCAGAGCTGCTTTGATTGCCTGAATCAATGTCTCAAACTCTGCCATTCCTTTTCATCACTTCTCAAAACCAATTTGTCAAAAAAGGCCTCTTCATAATTAAAACTCCATCCTGCATTTTTAATCTGAAAAATGGATTACACTAGCTACAGAAACACTCAGACATAAAGAGAAGCTCATACCAGGTTTACACCAATACTGAGGTGGGCAGGGTAGACAGTCCTGTAGGCTGGCAGCTCCTGGGGAGCTCCTCATGGTGTTTGCAGGACACAATTCAGCCTCCTCTGTGCCCTCAGGACAGTAAAAACCTGGAATAAAAAAATACTTGCAGACATTAGCAATTAATTCTAAATATTTAAAGAGTAAAATGATTAAATCTCTAAGTTAAAAAGTTGGAAAACTAATCTCACATGTCAAAGAATGTATGATAAGTATGACACCAACAAAAAACATAAAAATGAAAGTGTTTTTGTTCGTTTGTTTGTTAAATAATTGATGTATTGTACCTGGCGGACATGGTCCAGCACACTGCATGCCCCACTGGCACTGGGTCAGATTAGACACTGGTCCCTGAGGGGTGAAATCGGCACTCCCAGAAAGGCAAAGATAACCCGCCGCGCACAAACCCTGGATCTTACCAGCCCTGAAGAATATATACACAGGGTTAGTTTAAACTCACGCAGAAACACGTATACACACAAAGACAATTCAAAGACACTACAGCGTATGCTTCATTAGATACACAGAGTGGTAATTACATTGTTTCTAACATTTTCACCCGCCATATCTACATTCATTATATTCATGCATATTAAGGTGTTAATTTGACTGTTCAGTGAACCGTGACTCCTGAACATGATATACTCCTGCATTGTGCTAATTGTGAGTATAATCAGGGCAGAGATGAATGTTTGCCTCGAGCATGTGTCTGTGCGGGATGTGCGTGTAGCCATTTGTGTGTTCCTCTGTGTGCGTGTGTTTCTGGATGTTTGTGAATGTGAGATAAGTGCACATTTGAGAGCTTATGCATGCACACGCAGGGGCTGTGATGTATCCTGTGTACCTGCAGAACTTCCCCGGAGGGCAGGGTAAACACTCTCTTTCATCCTGTAGCCCTCCTTGGTTTGAATGAGTGTATGTCCCATTAGGACAGGGCTGAGGCACCATTGTGCCTGGGAAAAAAAAGATGCAACAGAGTGGAGACTGACAGTGTGATTAATTGCATGGTGATTATTACAAAGGAATATGTTTTTGGACTAGAACACAAGAATGACAGACATTTTTGGTGTTCTTGGGGATGGCTTTTAAGGTTACACATAAATTAAATGTACCCCTGTAGTCAGAATTGTCCTTTTAGATTACCTGCAGGGCAGAATGAGTGTGGTGGGCATGGCCATGGCTCTCCCACTATGGCCTCCTCACAGTAGAACCCAGGTCGGCATGGGATGCAGCTATCTGAGCCTGGGTTCGGCTGGTACTCTCCTGTAGGACAAGGCAGGGCCAGGGCAGAGCCTTGTGGACAGTAGTGGCCCTTGGAGACAATGAGAATGACAAAGAGGATGTGACTCAATGCAGCAGGACATTAATAATAATCAATATGGCACAAGCTTCTCCAGGAGAGATACTGCTAAGAAAACAATAGTTTGAATGGAAAAGGGAAGGACAGAGAAGGGAAATCAGTGGAAGAGAGATAATACAGAGAAAAAAAAGTAATTAAATTGTATATGGAAAACCCATACCTTGGGACAAAGGAAGGCATATGGAGTGGTTGAAGAGAAATCAAAAGGGCAGAAGAAACCAGCAGCACAGGGGCCACTGGGGTCGGCCAGACCCTCGGTGGAGCAGTAGTGACCAGCAGGACAGGCAGAGCAGCTCTCCATGGACACCCCTCCTATGACAACAGATAACAGTGATGCAGATCAGACAAGCCGACAACAAAAGATCCCATTAGGACCTCTTTCAAATGCAGATGCTAGCTCCTAATTAAAAAGATGATATGGATATCAAATTATTCAATCCATCACACAATGGTGGGACTCTAACGGAAAACAAGCGTGGATTTGTAATAGCTGCAACCACATATGGGCATGCATCCACACATTTTTGTCAAGTGAACAGTCAATTACCTGTCCAATCTTTTCCACACTACCAGTGGGATGACATCTTCACACACATAAACCCCTGACCTCTTCAGATGGGGAACATTTTGTGAACCAACCAATCAGCCAAGTATAGAACTGCAGGTTGCAGCTTAAAATGCCATTTCATGATGAGTGTAAACACTATGTGTACCGATGGTGTTGCGAATACTGCCAAGAGGGCATGGAAGTGGGGAGAGGCACCCTGCTGGACAGTAGTGGCCCACGGGGCAAGGGCCATTCCTGGAGGAGTTGTCGGTGCGCTGTGGTGTTGGCTCAATGGCTCCACCTTGGCAGAAATAACCCTGCAAACAAGGACCTGGACAAAACACAGAGACACAATCAATCTGTGTCTCTGTCAATGAATTGCTGAACTAGTATAATAAGGCTGTGTACATTTTATAAAAAAAAAAGCTTGAATAATGTGTTATCAAATATCTTGTGTCTATGTGTTTTGGATGATCTGATCACAAGTGGACAGCTCGAAGTGTGTTCCCTCATTCGTCCTCATTGTGTCTTAAGATCTGATCACTCAGACCACAGGCTGGTTGGTCTGATCAGCCATGACTTCAACTACTGTTTGACGTTTTTCCCATTATGAAGCCTTGAGTTTGGCATTTCGGCTGTCGCCATCTTGTTTTTTTGGAGCCAGAGGCTTCCATACTTGGAAGAGTGGGCAGAGTGGTGAAGGAGTAAGGGATGGATCTGACTCATAGACTGTAGTATTGCCTTGCTAGGCACTCAAGCCCTTAAAAATGCATAATTTTAAGCCCTAATAAAATGTAAATGGGTGAATTATATAAAAATTCATGCCTGTACAGTTGTCATGAATGTTGAAATCATCTACAAAGATCAAAACATTGTACCAGGCTGTAAACATGTTTATTTCTGCTGTAAATTTGGGCACTTGAACATGGGGGAGCCAGCCTCAAGTAGCCATTCAAAGAACTGCAGTTATGCATTGGCTTCATTTTACAGCCCTGGAGGTTGCTGCTTGCTCTTGCCAGTCAAAACAACAACATGTTCAGTCTTTGCCAATGCACATGATATACATGTTTATGTGCATATAGAGTGGGTAAGTGAGATCTGAGTGAGGTGTGAACAGAACTGATAGCTGTCCACTTGTAATTGGATCATCCGAGACACATGTTAATACCAGGCTTACACAGGGCCTTTGTGTGTGGTCACCTTGTGGTGTTGACGCTCCGTATGAGCCACAGTACAGTCCAGAGGGACACGGTGTGCACACAGAGGGAGAAAAGGCTCCTGTCTGGTTGCTGAAAGTCCCTAAAGGGCAGAGCTCAGGCAGGGCTGTCCCAGCAGGACAAAAATGACCTAGGAAGAGAGCACTTATCAAATATTGGTTCATCAGTACACCAGAACTTGACCACTGGACAGTATTGCTGCTGTAGATTTAAAGTTTATTTTCACCGTCCTCACCAGCTGGGCAGATAGAGGGCTCTCGAGTAGCTGTGGAGGAGCACATGGTCCCTTTGGGGCATGTTATACAGTGAGCTGCTCCAGGGGCAGGACTGTAAGTGCCTGGCTCACAGGGCACCTCACTTGCTGAGCCAACAGGACAGCTATGGCCAGCAGGGCAGATGTAGCCATGGGAACCATCAGATGGGGTGGAACTGGAGCTGCCACCCAAGCACACATACCTATAGGCATAAACAGGGAAAACAATCTTGATGTCACAAGTATCGCCACAAGCTGCCATTAGCAATGTTGAAAAATCTGTCAGTGAGGTAATATACTCTCCAAACTTGGGAGAAGTTGTCATTTTTGCAGTGGTATTTAATGTGTAATGTAACGTGGTAGAGCACAGCCCTCAGGATGTGCCCCAAACTTTACTTTAATGAGGCACAATTTCAATGGGCAACACTCCAATCTACCAGTACTGACAATCTAAATCATTTGAAATGCACTCCGCAGTATTTTTAATGCTAATGCAGTTACCATTACTGTCATATAATCATAATTTCTAATGACTCAGAAATACAGGCTATCAGTGGCTTAGTGGGTAGAGCAGGCATCCCATATACAAAGGCAATGTGCTTGCCACACTATTTGTGGGTTTAATTCCAGCCTATGGCCCTCTGCTGCATGGGCACATTATGGACACAATGTCTTTGAACTGCACTGAACTTTAATTCTGCTTCCCCCCAGTTCAAATTCCTCTCAGACTGTCTCATTTACCGCTGATAAACAGTGTAGAAATAAACAGCAGCAGACACGGTGAAGTGCTACAGGTGCTTTAAAGTGGGTTTTATCTCTGACTATTTATTGCGGGGCACATTTGCAACCCAATGCAACAGATAGCAAAGTGTTTCGAGTGTGGATCTTATTCTGCTGAAGACACCTGCTCCCTCTCCTGCTGAGGCTCAACAGACTCTCATGTAAAAGCCATCTGCTGCCCTCAATTATCCGTCTGATTTTGTTGTTTATGTGTATGCTGGCTCGCAATTGATTTTAGAACACCGGATATCTTGCTGGGATATTGGTCTGGTCCCTTTAATCCCTGTATAAATCCTACACATAAATCCAAATATACTTTCAGAGGAAGAGGTGAGACCACTTTGCAGTTGACATTAGGACGAGAGTGAAAGCAGGAGAGAGACTGGGATACATAAATTTCCTTTTTCTAAAAAATAAAATCGACCTAGAGCTACCGCCTTGCAGTTGTATGCCTCCGCTTACCAGCCAAGTTGCAGTTTTAGCTTCCTTCCATGTCTGTCCAGACTCGTATGTAACCATGACAGCTGACAATGCTTCAAATATGAATGCAAAGAAGCGACAAATTCTAAAATGTGGATGCTTCAGACACATCTTCAACCTAGGTGGACCCCCACGATCAGTGTCACAGATTCAGTATCCAAATTCAGTCTACCATTCTGTTCCTGAGTTATAACATTAAAAAAGGCCAGAAAAGTGTTTTTACAGATTATGATGTCACAGTGACATTGACCCTTGACCCTTTGGATATCAATTGTCTTCACCTCACTCCATCATTATATTCTATTAGATATTTGTGTGAATCTGGTCACAATTACCATATGAATTCTTGAGTAATGACCAAAAACGTATCGTTGAGTCCAAGTAGATATTAATGCCAAATGTTAAGAACTTTCCTCAAGCCGTCCTTGAGATATCATGTTCACAAAAATGGGACAGACAGACACCCCAAAAACATAATGCCTCCAGCAATGGCTCAGAAGCATACAAAAGAAGAGAAACTGTATGAAAGCATGACAATTTTCTTGACCACTCTCTCTCCAGGTCAGCTTAAAACTGCCAAGCAATAAATGAGAATGATACCTTATATGAAAAACAAAAAAGGAAAACAAAGAGCGGAAGTTTTTACCCAGCATTACATGGGAGAATATCTGAGAGCTGTGCTAAAGCAGGCCTGTCGCAAAACAGTCCAGGGGGGCAGGGTGCACATTCATCCACACCCCTCAGTCCTCGGGAGATGGAAAGAGAACCCGTGGGGCAGGGGAGTGGATAGCCAGTGCCAGATGGGCAGTAGTGACCAGAGGGGCAAAGATTACTTCTGGTAGAATTCCCCTTAAAAGGAGAAAAAATTAAAACATTACAACACAAATAACATTTGTATTCTTAATGGCATGACTTCCTAAGAACATATACATATTACTAAATACATATACATAAGTATGAACTGCCTGCATGCATCTTAATGTCTTCTAATGTGCCAGACTAATGCCCTCTCTAGAGGCTGAAATGTTTAGTACACCCCACAATGCAAAAGTGTTTAAATGAACACAGAACTTCAGTAAAAGTATGAATGTGCTTAGCAATATGGCAATATTTGATTTAATTTGTTGTGTGCAATATGTTGTGTGGGCCATTTTTGCCCATGATATTAAGGAAAGCTTATGGAGGGACCAAAATGGAGAGCAGAAATGTGTCCAGTGACAGTCTTGGTAAGCTCACTGTTGGATTTAAATATTCCTCGTGTGCCAGTCAAAATTTAGGCATGATGGTACTGCTGGAGGCAGAGTGATTTATCATCAAGCAACCATCAATAAGCGTAGCTAATTAAATGCAAATGGGGCCATTTTTTATAGCTTGTGTACAAAGTTGACATTTTCAGCTAATGGTGCTGCTAGAGGAGAGATGATGACAGAAAAATGGGTAAAACAGGGGAAACAGGGAGGATTAATGTGCTCAGTCAAACTACTGATCAGATTTTGATTTTATTCCTTCTGGACGTGGAAACTTTCACACGAAGTTTCGCTGGATGAAAGTCATGAGGTCACCAGAATCATTATGAATCATTTTCTGGGAACAAGGACCTACTGACCAACATTACCAAGTTACAGACCAACTGAAGCAACAGAGAACAAGAACAACACCTGATACTCGGTAGAGTTGGGGCTGGTTGATCCAGGAGGACAGTAGTATCCTGCCTCACAGAGTCCTGATGGCTGGGACAGACCAGGCTGGGAGCAGAACATTCCTGCAGGAAACACCGACGGAATACATGAATCATCATAAAGATTTGAAAGAGAGTGACGTAAAATTATATTAAATGAATGAGGGGTCAGGTTATGATGTAGAAAAAAACACTAATTCTTTCCACACCAGCAGGACAGAGCAGGCAGGCATCAGGTTTGGAGGCTCCCAGCTGGCTCTGCACAGTGCCAGTTGGACAAGGGAACTCCAGTCCCAGAGTCAATCCTGGAGGACAGTAGTATCCAACGGGACACAGTGCAGGCTGTACAGTCCCTTCAACTGAGCCACACCAAGAAGAATTAACAAACACAGATAATATCAGATGAGACCAATAAAATAAACAGTGTTTTGAATCTTGGAATGTTGAACATCATTGACTTTGAAGATACAGCTGCACAATTAAAGAAACAGACTCTGACGCTGACAATCAGTCAACATTTACATAGATCAGCTGAGATAAATTAAGGTGTAACTTCCATTAGCTGTCCTCAAGATGCATTAGCTCTGCTCCAAAAAGTAAAACTACTTAATGTGTCTCACAGAGTGGCTGTGGACAATCCCCATAGACTGGGTGAGAATTTGTCACTTTCATTAAAAAGTGAACATATGGGCTCATTTGGCAGCTGGCTAGCCAATGATTTGTATCCTTTAAACACGTCTCTGATCTTAGCTGTGTCCCTTGTTAAAACATGGCTGCACTGAATGCTAATCTATTGTGACTACTGCTGGAAAATGAATTACAATCTCTAGCCCCCAGTGCATGGATTCTTCTCTGTATGAATATTGCTCTTCTAAGACAATCCATGTTTCCCACCTTGACAGAAGTACCCAGGCACACAGGTGGTGCAGTTGTCTTGATGTGTGTTGCCTGTTTCAGAGCTATATGTCCCCGCAGGACAAGGCACTGGGACTGTTGTGCCTCTGGGGCAGAAGAAACCAGCTGGGCACAAAGCATTATCGGCTCTGCTCGAGCCCCAGTCACAGTAAAACCCTGCCCAGCATTCCCCTAGGGCACATAAGTTGAAACAACACATTCAAATGGAGGATTTTGTCATTAAAATTCCAAGAATCAGGAGAAATTTGCATTAAATATAAAAACATACAGAGAAATGTGAACTGTTATTTTAGGTGTCTTTTATCCCACCTACCTGCTGTCAGCCCCTGTTGGCAGAACATCCCAGGTGGACAGAGAGATCCAGTTCTGTTGTCAGTTGGGTTCGGCACTGTGGCACCCATCAGACAAAGAAACCCAGCAGCACACGATCCTGAAGGCCTCACCAAACCTTCAGACCCACAAAACTGGCCCACTGGACACACAAGGCACTCACCTGCCAATAAAGATTGACAGCTTTGACTTCAGTCCAAACAGCAAAACAAGCTACCTACAGGGTATGTCTCTGAGACGGCTGCATTTCAAGAAATAAAGAAATTGTTTTGCAAGACTTGAAATGTTGAAAAGTTTTATTTCATTGTAGACTAGTCCGACACGTTCTCATCCCAAGTCATCACAAATGACTGCTTTGTCAGTGGCCCTTCACGTCTACATGTTACACACTAGGTAGAGATCTGGGAATCAAAGACCAGAGCTTGCGCCAGGCTATTAAGGCAGTGTCAGAGGCAGCTGAGAGAAGCAGACAGTGGCTGTGGATGAAGAGGCAAGACTCCTGCTGGGCCCCCATTTGAGAGGGTTATCTGGGAGACACACTGCGGGGACTTGATCACCCCCATAGGGCCTTCCTCAGTCGAGGGTGTCTAGTAGTGATGGCCGAAACACCCGATGAGATCTGGGGTATACTACTGAAGATGTGTACCCTGGATCACCCTCCAAAGGAGAGAGCCCACCAGAAAACTCCACTGGGTCAATATCGGCAAGTGTATTCTCTAGGTACGCGCTCGCACTTAAAGGACTGTTTACATCTCATCCTGTGGTTTGGATACCCTTCTGCGTCTGCTGTTGACGTCAACAAAAGCACATGGTTGGGTTTAGAAAAAACAGATTCTTGGTTTAGCATTCAGGAACTAAACACCAGGCTCCTGTGTGAAAGTCTGGGGCTTGTTGGACCCATCCACTCTAGAGAGGGACTATCCAGCTCCTTAAATTTCATTGTTACCGGCAGCGCTTCAACCTGACATCCTCTACCAATGCAACAGGTGCCATCCCGGCCGACCGGCAGCATATCATACCAACGCGAAAGGTTACGTCCAGCCGTGTTAGATACTGATACCGCCCAGCCGTTTATCATACTGCCAAGAAAGGTGGCTTTTGGCGTCGAGTGTCTGACCCCAAAATCATTGACAAAGGGGGGTATTCGACGACTTTTGCATGACAACGGGCTGACTGGTCTAATTACCTTGCCTGAAATTTTTTTTCTGTCTAAAGAAAATTCAGATTTGACTGAAGCCCTCAAGAATTATGACACAACATCTGCCTTAACAAGTCATTGACCCACAAAGGTTCTGGGTTTCTACCTGTGGTGGTGAGGCCGTTGCTGGGACTGTAGGTGCCTTTGGGGCAGGGAAGAGGCTGACTGTCTGGACTCTCTCTGGGGCAGATGTAGCCAGCTGGGCATGGCAGAGGGCTGGAGACTCCAGTGGAGCTTCCCCTGGAGGAGCTAGGACTCAGGGACTGGCAGTGGAACCCAGGAGGACAGGGATTACACTCTTTCTGGCCTGATAAATCCTGGAACCAGCCTGGTAAAGACATTCAAACAATGACATCTTCAGAGAGGGTGAGGGGCTTTGTACAGTAAATAAAAGTCAGTTTTGCAGAGGTATGTTCAAACAGTGTAACTCCTTGTTTACCAAGAGGACATGTTTTGCAGTAGTCTTTGCCTTTTCCTCCAGTCTCATTCTGGTAAGAGCCCGCTGGGCAGGGTGAGGGTACACTGCTGCCCTCGACACAGTAGTGGCCTGCTGGGCAAACACCTCCAGATATACTTGACATTGGAGTAGCAGTCTGGGATCCCTCTAAACAGTAGAAACCTGTGGAGAAACACTTCAGTGAAATGCTACACTTTGATATCAAGCAAGAAATTGCATCACACCAACATTTTCCGTCTTATTTCTGACCTGGCAGGCAGGGTCCAGAGACTGCAGAGAGGCCGGTCTCTGAACAGTAGAAGCCAGGACTGCAGCTACGGCACTGAGACTCATCCACGAGCCCACTGTGCTCACTGTCAGAGGATGCATGCTAATTATAAACCACAGCAGTAGTCAAGTGATTTCATGCAATTGAATAAAAAATGCTCAGTAACACATCACAGAAAGCACAGCTCTCTATGCCAGCACCTCAAACAATTTTCAAGGATAACACTTCAGATTACATTTCCTGTTCATCTTCAGTGTCAGTGGATTCAACTACATCTCCAAAATTTCACATATTAGTACTAGATACAACCCAGCTGCCAGAATAAAGGTCGGCACTGTACGTTTAAAAAAAAACTCACCATGTTAGGGGTTAGGAAAACATCATGTTTTGGCTAAAAATACCTGTAATGGCCACTACAAACACCTGGAAATGTCCTGAACTCTCGTTAAAAAATACCCAACCTGTGTCACTACAAACATAGCTGGTCATGTTCAAAACTGTCATAAAATGTACCCACTCTGGTCAATACAAACACACCTGGAAAGGTCCCTAACTCTTGTTCAAAATACCTGCTGTTGTCGCTACAATCACGGCTGGACATATTTCAATTTGTTGCTAAAAAATACTGGCTTTGGTCACTACAAACACACCTGTAAATATCCCTAATTCTTGCTTTGGTTGCTACAAACATGCCTGACAATGTCCCAAACTTTTGTCAAAAAAATACCTGTTGTTGTCACTACAATCCTGGCTGGACATGTCCAAAACTGTCATAAAATATACCCTCTTTGGTCACTACAAACACACCTGAATATGTCCCCAACTTATATTAAAAATACCTGCTGTTGTCACTACAATCATAGCTGTACATGTCCAAAACTGTCATAAAATATATCTGCTTTGGTCACTACAAACACACTTGGAAATGTCCATAACTCTTGTTAAAAATACCCACTGTCTTCACTACAAATATTGCTGGACACGTCCAAAACTGTCATAAAATATACCCTCTTTGGTCACTACAAACACACCTGAATATGTCCCCAACTTATGTTAAAAATACCCACTGTCTTCACTACAAATATTGCTGGACATGGCCAAAACTATCATTAAAGATACTCACTTTGGTCACTAGAAACACACCTGAATATGTCCCTAACTCTTGTTAAAAAAATACCTGCTGTTGTCGCTTTAATCATGGCTGGACGTGTCCAAAACTGTCATAAAATATACCCGCTTTGGTCACTACAGACATGCCTAGAAATGTCCTAAACTCTGGTCAAAAAATAGTTGCCCTTGTTGGGACAAACACAGCTGAACATGTCCTAAACCATTGTTAAAAAAGACCTGCTTTTGTTGGTCTCAAACAGTGGTCGGCTGCTCTCTGCTGCTTGGCGCCCTTCTCATGTGTGTGTCACTTTTCCCTGCCCCTCCTGATGAGAAGCTCAGCTCATACACATGTAATCTGAGCTCCATCATTCATATGAAATGTACAAGTTTAACATATTCTCAGTTTGCAGGAACATACACTGCCAACATTTTATTCTCAGCATTTCTTCATTTTACTAAAGTAAGCTACTAAATACATACAGAGGAATGTTTAGTCACCATATACTGTAATACTGTAGTATTAGCATAGTTTCAGAGTTCATCATCCTTAATATCATCATGGATATCATAAATATCCGTCCCATATGGGTAGATTATTAAGTACATAGACATATTGCACCTGAATGTTCCTTTTGGGCATGGTTTTGGTACAGAAGTCCCCACAGAGCAGAAGAAGCCAGGAGGGCATGGAAACCCAGTCAGACTGTCTTGTGCTGAAGGTTCAGATGCTCCGCCAACACAAACAAAGCCTGCAGCACACGGCCCACTGGGGAACGTCCTTCCTTTATATAAATATCATTCAAGCAAGGTTTTTATCACCCTAATATCAGAGCAGCCATTTACCTCTAATTGTTTTTTAAAGCATCACTAAATTTACACTGGAGCTGTCTGCAAGATACACAACAAATAAAGGATATGAGAGGTGAATGCAATGTACCTGTTCCTTTGCAGTACATCCCAGGGTCACACAGTGAGCACTGCCGTTCCTCAACCAGTCCTGATATGTTTCCATAGGTGCCTGCTGGACAGGGATGTGGATCTGCTGATCCGCTGGGACAATAAGATCCTCTCTCACATGGGAGTGGGAGAGTCATTCCTAAAGTACAACAAAATGACAAAGAATTCTCTGGTTAAATCTAAATGTTAACTACACTTAAGTTCCCAGCTGCTAAAATGCTTATGTCATCCAACAATTTGTCGACCCTTCAACATCACCTTGATCTCGACAATAGAAACCAGCAGGACATGTCTGACAGCTGCCTTGGCCTTGTCTGTGCTGGTAGCTGCCTGGGAGGCAGGCAGTCTGTCTGGCACTACCCTGGAGCAACCATTACATTGATTTCATTAGAATTTATATCTGGGGAATAACAGGCATCATCGGGCATAATTATAGTGCAACAATAACAGTGAGGACTGAGACAGACAGCACAGGAAGAGGAGTGAGACAGGCAGGAAAAAACAGAGAGGAAACATCAATTGACTTTAAATATGCAGTAATTCACTTGTCAAGACAGAATGAAAACCTCAGATGAGGGGGAAGACTCATGCAGAGACATCACATACAACATTCAGCGATGATGACAGACAATAGCTTGAAGGCTAATACTGGATGGATGACCTTCTCACAATAATGTCCCACTGAGCAGACATGTTGTTGTGGTCTCTCAGAGCTCTGTCCCTCAGGACAGTAGTAGCCTTCTGCACAGGGGCCACTTGGCTCGGCTTTTCCTCTTTGGTGGCAGTAGTGACCTGGAGGACACTGCTGGCAAGTTTCGACTGCTGACCCACCGAGGGACCCTGATGGATATCACACAACATACATATAAATTGGAGATTAGGTCATAAATTGACTTCTTAAAAACGTCTTAAATTAATTGGTGTTTCATCTATGCATCCGTGTTTACTTGCACACAAAAGTGACGTAATGAACGCATTAAAATAGATAACACTGTTAATTCGATGCAAAGTACAGTACCTATTCCCTCATCAGTTTCTAATTCATAACCATACAAAGAAGCTACAGCACATTTTAATAGGATTCGAGTTGTCCGCCGCGAGACAACAATACAATTACACGATTAAACCACTTTGACTGAAATTATTCATAGGCACCCATGGGGGAGAAAAAAGGTTTCAATGCAAGATATTCCTCTGCACCACTGAGCTGCAAAGATAGACACCGGTTCATGTAAGGACATTAGCAAGAAAAACTGACGTGTGCAACAAAGAGGATTAGGTGTTGTATTTCTCGGTTTAGTATTATGTCTAGTTACTCATCCGTCATTAATTCATGACCGAAAAAAGGGCAGGGGATAACTGACTTATCATGAACTGTCTCTCTTTTCATAAATAACTATGAAATCTAGCAAACAGTTTTCTTTTGACAATTAAATCAAGGAATCTAACAATTAAAGCTATTTAACAAAAAAGCAAAAGCTCACTTTTTATGGTTCCAACAGGGCAGGGTAGAGGAAGAGGAGTTCCAGGGGGGCAGTAGTGTCCTTTGGGGCAAGGGGTGGCGTGGGGGTTTAAAGAGCCTGTGGGGCAGTGATACCCTGCAGCACAGGGTCCTGCCAGGGCATCTAGACCAGTCTGGTTACAGTAAGAGCCAGCCTCACAGGGCTGAGGGTAGGCAGAGCCCAATGGGCAATAAAAACCTGAAAAATAGCCACGAAAATGTTACTGATATAAATCAACTTCAGCAAGACCAAAAGTCCAATCAGGAGGATTACTGTTCTTGTGCAACACTCCCTCTGGAGAATGAGGATTTTCTCAAATTCCATCATTCCCACACCCATATATTCTGCCTCTCCTATTTACAGTTAACCCAACACATTTTTTAATGTTCCAGGGGGGAGTAATTACTTTGCTCCAAGGATTTAATCTGTTCCTTGCTGGTCTGACATTAGCTGTTATTTCAGTGCAGCTGTTTTCCCACTATGTAACTATCTGCAACTCCTCAAGAAGAAAGTCACATTCCAGCATGTCAACTTTAAGGTCTTCATATCACTGTAAAATCTGGCTGAACTCAATTAAAAAAAAATCTGGGGCACTGTTTGCCTTGAAAAAGGTTAGTAAATATGACCATTAGTCTTAAGTTATGTTTATTTTCTATCTAACGTTTGAGCGGCAGTAGCTCAGGCCATAAGTATTTGGCTTGGGAACCGGAGGGTCATCGCTTCAAGTCCTCGTACAGACCAAGTAAGGAGCGTGGACTGGCAGCTGAAGAGGTGCCAGTTTGCCACACCAGAGGTGCTCCAAACAATAGGGAACCCCCAACACGCCCAAGGCAGCCCCCTCACCCCCCGCTCTGACATCTCGCCAATTAAAGCATGTATAGGTCCTCTTTGTGCATGTGTATGTATTTTGGGCCTGTGTGTATATAAATAATCCCCCCTTGGTGATTAGTAGAATGTATCTTTTTCTTCGTCTGCAAACTTTTAAGTATACTTCAAATTTAGTTGTATATACTCAATTTTGTAAAGTTGTTGGAACCTGAAAATGATAGGTGAAATTAATTTGCTCTTTTTAGGTATTGGCAACTTAAAGAGGCAACAGATAGCATCTTTTCCTAAATATATCATTATGAAAATAATGTGGGTTGCACAGGGTAGTGGCCACAGTAAAATAAGACTATCAGCATTTACATAGGTTACTTAGTGGCTTTGCAATCTTTGTAATAAGCTTCTGCCACCTGTGCCGAAATTTCGCAGAGGATTTTACGGCAGGTAACGCATCATGTATTGCGAAACTGGTTGGTCAGCCAATCAGAGACTGGAGCTGGTCCTTATGAGGAGTTGCGCATGAGATAGTTGAGTCACGAGCACAATGGCAGACAGACAAAGTTTGGAGACAAGTGAAAAACGGCAAAAGAGAACGAGCTTCTCTGTGTGAGGAGGCAAAGAAGAGCAAAAAGTGGAGTGATAAAAGAAGAGGAAAAACAACAGTAAACCTCAGTCAGGCGTTCAAGAGATGGAGGGAGCTCCGTGACCAAAGAGGCTTAAAAACCGATGTCCAGCTAGCTTTCTTTCTAATGGATCAGTAAGTCTAAGTAAGTGTAGTGTAATGTTTACTGAAGTGTTTATACTGTACCTTTAAGATGACCTTTAAAGATACGTGTTGAAGCAATGTACTCTGTGCAACTGACAAATCACACACTGGTTTATTATTTCATGTATTCTTATGACACACATACACTCACTGAGCACTTAAGTATTGTGGTGGAGAAGTACCTAGGCATCTTTTCTAAAAATAGCATGAGGATGGGCTCAGAAACACTGGTGGAAAGTTAGGGGAATTACAGCTTGTCCTGATATGACCCTGGTAAGAGGAGGCGGTCTTAGATTGTCCAGGAAAACATTACGAGTACAAGTAAAGAGGTGGGGTTTAGGATGAAAGGAAAAAAGTGGAAACTCAGCAGAAATGTGACATCGCTACGATCAGAGCCAAGTGGGAAGGATTAAGAAAGAGACGACTCAGCAGAAAATCTTCACAATAAAAACGAGTGCGCAAACAAAGAAATTTCAGTCTTGCTCCGGAGTTTGACTCACTGAGTTGTGTTGTGCTGATGCCTGCGTGCACAATAAAACTAGTTGGATCTGATTCTGCGTGTCTCCAGTGATTTTTTTTACCTCTGAGTATTTGAGTTTTTTGATATCTAATAGAAAACAACAAAAGTCCATTAGAGAAGAAAGGAACGAGGTCGCGAGCTTTCTGGCCCAGCTCCCGACCTTTTAGTTTTTGATTCGACATAAGGCTAAATGTTAGCTAGACCAGAGAGGACTGTACTGTACTGGCTGCTAGTTAACTCCTAGCTGGCCAGCATCGCAAATCGCCACAACCAGGGACCGGGTAGCGAGTGTTGGTCGGCTGACATCCTCATTGTCATTCTACGGCAGCCCTCAGACAGTGATAACCCCCTCCCTTCCTCCTGTTCTCTTCTCACTGAGGCAGCTATCAACGGACATCGCCCAGCTAAGTTACGCCCAGCTGTGAACACTGAACTTTGTTTCCCATTCAATTTGAGTTCCAACCAGCAGCATCGTTTCCATATGGTACCGTTTATTCTAGAATCGGGACTGGTTACATGTGCATATTGGTATAATTCCACTGTGTACTGTTGTTTGTACTGATACTGTGCATATTCATTTAATTTACTGTGAGTTGTTTGTACTGGTACTGTGCATATTGGTATAATTTACTGTGAGCTGTACTGGTACTGTGCGTTCTGGTATAATTATTTGCAATACTATTTGTTTTTTCTTCAGATAAATCTGACAATTGTTGCTCAGTCTCTTTACTCATTTATTTAGTAGTGTAGTGTAGAGTATCCACACACCTTCTCATTCTACATATACACAGAGGTATACCGGTGGCTTTACAGCCTACATTTTATTTAATTTAGAGAGTCTAATAGAGTGATATTATTGATTATCTCTGATCCCCACAGTTAATTTGGTCGCTGTGACAGTGCGAGCAACACCGCTGACGCTAGGTGACGCCAAGCTAAAAAAAACCTAATCCTATCTGTTGCCTCTTTAAGTAGACCAAATTAGTCTGACGTCACTGAAAAGTTGTGTTTACTCAGTAAAATTTAGTAAACTGATTGCCTTAGATAAAGTAAGCACAGCAAAAAATGGTTACTTTGAAGGATTAGTTTTTATCTTAACAAAATGCCATTCTTAGCATTTAAGTACGCATCTAACCTTTTTAAAATAAAAAAATAACCTTTTAAAATAATCTTCAAACTACGTAATGCAGACTAAATCTTTCTCCCTGACTTTACTTAAGATTTCATCAGGGCTCCATGGCACAGTTTTATCACAAATACCCATATTTAATCAAGCTTTAGCCAACGTACAAGCTGTATGAAGAATTTCATCAAATTTGCATATTATTATCATGCTTTGAACTGTGATTAACAAAGCAGCACTGTAGGTGGTAACATTGTGCATTATATCTACTGGTTGTAAACTAGTCAGTTAAATGTGTATGTTAAGTCAGACTAACATGGTTTACTTACGTTGCTAACAATTAGAAAGACCAAGTTAATTCTGCTGTCATTTTTAAGTTTCCCAGGCTTTTATTTGCTTAAATCACTGAACTCAACAGGTCTATATTTGGGACAGGCGCCTACTGTATATGGGACAGGCCTTTAATTCCTTTCACACAAAACTGTTGCTCAGCAAAGATGGGAAATATAATCAAACTGTTTATTTGAACTAGCATGGATATTACTTAAAATAAGACTTTGAATAATATTTCAATAACAAATCATTCATTTGATCTCACTCCAACAGACAGGGCATCACAGAGAGAGAGAGCATTATGACACTAGAGGATTACAGCACCTGGCACTCTGACACAACAACACTTTGTCCTGTTAAAACAATAATCTCAGCTTGGATTTATTTTTATGAAAAACCCTTTTAATTCTTTTGATTTGATCTGAGGACCCTTACAGACTAAAGGAACATGAATAACTAAGAAGGTAATGGAGGAATGGACATATATTCTGACTTTATGACAGCTTCTGAGGAAGGGAGTCATCATTACTTTTTTCATCATGCTGGTAGTCTTCTCTAGTGCTCATGACTTCAGTAAAATTAACTGAATGATGGAGGAATGTGGAGAATCTAACTGAGCTAACAATGTATAGCATCTGCATATTGACAAAAGTTTAAAAAATGTATATTTGCATACACGATCTAAACAGCTAACTAAGGTTAGCTCAAGTGGGTAGCCAACAACCTGTTTTGTACATTTAAAGAACTTCTATGAAAATGAACTGCTTGGCAACCAGACCAGGTGTCTATTTGAGACAGGCCTTTATTAGTCTAAATGTGTAGCCACACTGGCCTGGTAAAAGGGACTGGGTGTTTATTTGGGACGAGGCTTTTAATTGAAGTACATTAATGTAAGATCAGCTTGTCAGAGTTTACAGTGATAAAGGAATGAGGTTCATTCATGCAGGAGGTACTGTAGTGAGTTACTGTACTGCAAAGATAATTATGCAATTGGGCGTACCTGACAAAGCCTTTTCCTAATTCTTGGCTTTTTAAATAGAATTAAGCATGACAAAAAGTGGGCATTCATCCTTCAAACCACCTTGTCATGATTTAACATTACAGAGTGTTCAAAGAAAACCAAGATAAAATGGCATTAAAGATGGGATATGCTGCACAGACTGAACAGATCAGATGACATCAGTCATATGTCACAGCAATTTCAGTCAGTGGGACTGGAAGATAACATGTGTGCCTGAGGGAATGAACAAAGTATCACATCCAGCTCACGCAAGTTCACTGTCAGGATTTACCCACCCTTAGGGCATATATCTCCTCTGTAGGTGGAGCAGGCAAAATGTGGACTCTTGAGATGTGGCGGTGAGTGAGTCACAATATGGTCTGAATCTGCCCGTGGCGGTGTTACCCCTTCGATCCAGCCAGCGTCCCTCCCTGTAATAGAACATGGCAGATAAAGCATGAACGATGTCGGAGTTAATATCTCTGTCTCACAGGGAGCAAACCAAAGAGGAGCCACTCTTTTTGAATGGTGATTTAACAGTTTAGACTGCAAAGAGAACAACATCTTTTCACAACGTTACACTCTAGGGCAATGATTAATTGTAGAATACTTGAGGGGAAGGTCAAGCTGAAAAGCTGCTGCCTTGTGGGACATTTATCACAACACATACGACTTTGCACTCTTGTTGAATAGTTTAAAGAAATTGATGTAATGCCCTTTCAAAGGCAGCATTTATTGTGCTATTACAAACTGAAGAAACCCATATTTTACCAGAATTATTGGAGTTATTGAAGCAGGACAGATAGTGAATCCAGAGGCCGGCGTCTGTCTTTGTGGTATAAACCTCCAGTATTTCACAAAGACAGCTGAACAAAGAGGAGTTCGCTCGAGGTGTGGGGCTCTCGGCACCTCCTGAACAGAAAAAACCTGCAAAGCACAGGCCTAACACAAGGAGGTAATAGAAAACAACCATCGAATGATTATCTATCCTATTACATGTGATCTTAGCTGGTAACCACAATTATCATTTTGTTTCCCCCAAATCACTGTCCACATCAGTGATTTGGGGGTCTTGACTTAAGGGAAATGTAGTGAAATCCCCTACCTGTGGGCTGTGACCCTCCAGGACTGAGGCAGTATTTCCCTGGGGGGCAACGGCGGCAGTGAGAGAGGGAGGAGGCTCCAGGCTCTGGGAGGAAGCTGCCAACAGGACAGGCTTTGGGTGAACCACTACCCTGAGGACAGAAGTGTCCCATGGGACAAACATCTCCGTAAGGCTGGGAGACAGGGGAAGGCTCATTGGACCCCAGGGAGCAAAAATGTCCTGTGGTAGACAATGCATTTAGACACATCACTGAGAACACTGCAGCATTCAGAGAGAAACTGTGGCTTGATACTGTGCAGAAATACAGGAGAGGAAAAGACCCTCAATTCTCTGACACCATTTGCCATGGTGACGCTGGACTGTCAGACCTGGGCTGCAGGGTCCAGACGGCTCTGTCAGAGCACTGCTGTTACAGAAGGAGCCAGAGGGGCAGGGGGAGCAGTCAGTCAGGGACATCCTGCCAGCTGACGGACTGACACTGCCCATCGGACATGGAGATGGCACAGATGAACCCTCCAAACAGTAGAAACCTGGCCATGGTGGTGCATATCATTGTTAGCTCCGGTTCACCTTTGGTTCTTTGTGTACAGTTTTTCCATTTGAGTGCATCTGTAAGTTTTTTTAATTACCTGGTGCACAGGTGGTACAAGTGGACTGCCCAGATGAAGACTGAAAAGTGCCAGGGCTGCAGATGGCCGGCTCAGCACTACCACCTGGGCACATATGGCCAGGCGGGCACTGATATTCTGCAACACAATCAGATAAAGAAAAGTTCAAACTGTCATCTGATCCCTCCCTGTTTACAATGAGAACAAGAGTGGTGTGAATAAAGAATATTGTACTAATATGATATATAATTTAAAGTGACAGATCACCCAAATATCAAAAACACATATTTTTCCTCTTACCTGTAGTGCTATTAATCAGTCTAGTTGAGCGTTGGAGGTGTTGGCCATAGAGCTGTCTGCCTACTCTCCAACATAATGTAATTAGATGGCATTCGGCTTGTGGTGCTCGTGGAGCCAAAAAAACAAAACAAAACAAAAAAACAATAACCATGACCCAGTTACTCAAAGTAATCTACAAACTTTGTTGTGAGCAAAGGATAAACTTCTCCTAGCACCACTAAGCTAACTAATGTTACAGCTCAACCAAGGAGTATGCCAGTAATGTTTACATCTCGCGCTCCCATCTGTGAGTAGATGCACGCTTCCTTCTGCCGGGTCACACAGGTTTAGTTCAAGTACTTCCATTATATTGGAAAGGAGGCAGACACCTCTACGGCTGATATCTCCAACACTCGGCAACTCACACCAAAACAATCTAAACTGAAAAATAGCGCTACAGGTAAGGTACAGGTAATGATAGGTTCACACTAGACGACATTTTTGTCTTTTTCGGCAGTCACTATGTCGAATGTGGGGTCATAAAATTGTGCCGTGACTTGGCCAATAGACATGACAGACTACACGATGGTCCACGACCAATCATCCCTGGTTGTCTTTCACGACGTGTGTGATGTCATCAGGTTATTCTTGTCCTATTTCTATTACTATCACTATTATTTCAGTCACTGTGTCTGTTCATGCGCAACCGGAATGTTGTTGTAGTTGTTAAAGGAGCTAAGTCTACTACTAGCTACTGAGGTATTTGACCTGGGTTGACGCGCCTGTTGCTGGACACGCTACGCTACCTTCCCATCCAAATGCTAAATCAGAGTCCATGAAGCTTCTTGGGTTGCATCACCGTAATATTTATTCCACGTGTGTATAGCAAAGTCCATCTGAGACATCCACATTTATCATTCAGTACAAAACAAACAAAACTGTAGTGTTCCGCGCCATTGCGGTCAAAAACCATTTGCCCTTCCGGGCCAAACACCTGTGTCGTTTATTACACCTGCTGACCATAGTGAGGTCACATCCTAAATACCTGAACTCACCAAGTGACAGTACAGTGCCCCCCAATGCCCACACAGTGAATTACACAGTTAAATGCAAAACCTCCCAATAACATATTTGGCTCCTATAGTAGTAATGTAAAAAGTGCCACCAGATGGCAGGAGCTACATTTGAATTACCTCATGCAAACATACAAGTCACTGAATCCTCCACAACAAGTTCCTGCAAATGTTTCACAATAAAAGCCTGTTTAGAAAATAAAGGGAATCTCCTAACTGAAATTATAAGGGGCTTTTAATTTTAAACTGGTACAGGAAGTGTTGAGTTTGAAATGACGGTGCGGTGCATTAACGCTAACAGGGCAAAAGGGAGCGCATCAAAAGTAAAAACATAAAAATACAGAGAGAATAATGAATAAAGGCCCATTTCTAATGTGGTCTGTTTCACATGAAGCTGGTAGCCTCTGCAGTTGTGGTAAGTAAAAGCCCTGCCACTATTTTTTAATTTCATTACTTAACATCCCTCTTCATTTTGAAGAAATTAAATTCTTTGCTAGCCTGATGCTAATGGCAGTACTTGCTTAAGTGCCTCTGCTGTTTCATGCCATCAATTTTCCTTTTTACTTTCTCGTGAGAACATCCCTGGAGGATATATCAAAAACGCTGCAGTGTTGTTGTCATACAGTTGTCCACCACAGCAGATCGCTCGTTTCTATTGGTCAAAATGACAGCCGTGACGAGAGAAGTCGTGAATGACAGAAAGAAAGTCAAACATGCTAAACTCTCTGTCAGGATGTTGCGAGGCATCCCAGACGTAGTGTCAGTTGTTGTCTACTATGACATGCCACACTAGATATAACAATGTATTATCGTGCATGACACTCATTGTCGTTCGTGATCCAAGCCAATACCATACGACACTGTGTCGGGCTATAATCAGGCTAATAACGTGTAGTATAAAACCCAGCATAAGGAAAAATATGCATTTTTGATTTTGGGTGAACTGCCCCTTTAAAATACATTTATGTGGCAGTTGTCCATGAAAGAAAGCATGGTTGCTGTATTTCATCATGCCCAGTGTGGTACCATGGAAACAAAGCAATGAAGAACAGAGTGACTCTTAGCAGTGTTCGTCCTGTATGAAAATCCCGTGGGAAGCAAAGAGAAGCGAAAGCAGGCTCAGCAGCAGGTGCCCTGACTCTGACAGCAACGAGCTGAAGACTCTTTATAGGTTCTGGGCCATTTCATGCTCAAATTAATGAAAACTCTTCTCAATGAAAGGAAAAAGGGGGTCGAGGATGCCTTTCAAAGAATATCTCGGTGTGCGAGTAACATAAGAGGTGAAGGATAGCACATCGGAGACATAGAATCACCTCCATGGTGCATATAGAGTACGACATGTTAGGTAATTGATGAGTTCTGCTACATAGCCACAGAATCAGTTACTACACCTGCTACAGAACGGCTACGTTTAGAGAGCAGACATAAACAATGCAAACACCTCATGGAAGACACTTTAAAGTAACCTATTACAGTTAGAATAATATGTCAAAGACAACTTTCTTGTAAGTTATGTTCAAACTAACTGCATCATCACAAAGGAAGAGCAGTGACAAGATGACAACAGAGATAGGACATAGGGCTCCTCTCATTTCTCTACTTTGTGCCTGCTTGTCTCCTCATAGCTGCGTCCTCCTGCCTGTGATCTGGAGATCAATCTCAGCGTGCCGTCTCAGCGGATGTCTAAAATCTTAACATGCACCTTGAAGAGAGAGGAGCAAGGGGAGGGAAGGGGAGGCTTGCCAGAGGAGCTATGAACAAGGATACACAGCTGTGTCCTTTGCGTAAGTCTTTTTGGCACCCGTGATGTATAAAAGAGGCATGACAAACAGCTGCCATGTTGTGAACTGAATTCAAAGTAAATATTTAAGTTGACATGAACAGTGTTCTGCTCATCTGACAGAGATATGAAAATACAGCTATAACAAAACAATGGGTAGATGATGCAGCTGTGCCACACGTCATATTCAATTGACGTTGCTTTAAAATGACAGCTCCAAAGCACGTATGCATCATTTTGTGAAATGTCTGTTGCCTCAGCTTCTCTCTCTTCGTGTCTTTTCCTTGCCTCCTTTTCTTGCATCTTAAGTGAGAGGGACTAAGACACAAGGAAAGGAGGCAAAGAAAGAAATCGAGCAGGTACAAATGGACAAACGAGAAGGGAGTATAGTTGCTATCCAATGAAAACCATGCATCTTCAATGTTTGTCATTTTTATTTTTCAACTGTCCAACTTCTTAGGTTTAATAAACAACTAGTCCATACCCACTGAGTGCACAGTTGCCCACGTACAGTTTCACATGGTGTGTGTTTGGGATACAGGTCATAGGAAATTGCAGATTAAATAGTCAACTGAACCCATTAAGAAGAGCAATGTATTCAGACAGAGTTTTTGTGAATTTGATAGTACGATTTCTTTATTGAAAGTACAGTGGTACCGCTGCCAATAGTGGGATGGTTAGTGGGCTAAAACTGTACATTAGTAGTTGAGGTAGCACGTTGAAAAGCAGATAGTTAAAGTGTTTATATGTTGTACTGACTTAAAAGTGGGGCGCACTGGTAGAATGACTGACTGACAGTTTCCATGATTATGTACAGCATACCATGCCATGACTTAGTCATACCAAAAATTAGGAAAGGAAAAAACATTTGGCCACAGGGTGAGCCACAGCGATCAGTTGCATTTTAGCCATTTTTAAGCATTTTTCTGTTGTTATAGCGCCACCCAATTGCCAGTTAGAGTTAAATTTCTCCAGTCACCTTGAGGCATCCTGTTCTACATATCTACCAAGTTTAGTAAAAATCGATATGGCGATTAGGCCTAGATAAGAAATTAGCTCTCTAGCACCCCCATTTTGTTTGATGGGGTCAATAATGGAGGGGTCCCCTCAGATTATGTGTGGTCATATGCCTACAAAGTTGCGTGGTGATAGGTGAAACCCTTGAGATGTTATACACCTTTATGTGATGAGCCACGCCCTCCGCAATAGTCATTGCCTTATAGAAGCTCAGTTTTAGTAAGTTTTCCAACTTTTGCCAAGAGGGAACTTTAGATATTGGTCCCTAGATTATGTTCACTGAGCTTCATGCAGATTGATCAAACTTCCTAGGAAGAGATCGATTTGAAGTGCTTTTCAAAAAATTCAAAATGGCGGAAAATCTATATAACCGGAAGTTATGGGTTCCTGAGGCAAATTTGTTCCTCATGAGGAGAGGCATCACTGTGCAAAGTTTCATGTCTCTATGACATACGGGGCATGAGATATGCCCATTCAAAGTTTGCAATTTCAATCGGTTGCTATAGCGCTCCCCTTTGGCCAATTGATGTAATATTGCTTCATTCGCATCCTCCCATTGTCAGTTAGGAGAAAAACGTGGAACAGACACACACACACACATACACACACACACACACACACACACACACACAGACAGACAGAGTTTTCGTCATTATATAGTAAGACTAACGGATTAACAGAAAATGCTTTGTCACAAGTGTTTTTTCCAGGCCAATGTTTCTGAGATACATGGATGTCACAGGATAAAATGTAACCTGATATCACAGTTGTGATTTGATTCATGTTACTTCAAAGTACAATCATTTTTGCATACAGTATTTTGTCCATCCATCATTCATATGTGACACTACTTTTTACAGTGAGTAAAGTCAGAAAAGCTTGGTCCCCTGAGCCAACCTTTTCATGTGAGCATAACTATTTGTAAACCACACTTACTGTACGAGATCATTCATTGCGTTAGTAATAAAGTACAAGAAAACTATGAGGTGCAAAGACTACCATGTTTAAACCTGAGCTGACCCCTGATGATGTGCACTGTACCTGGCTGATGTCCAGACACTGATCCTGTTGGACAGTACCACCCCGGGGGACAGAGGAGGTCAGCAGAGGTCTGAGCCCACGAGGGGCAGTAAAAACCCGGGTAACAAGCTTCACAGTCAGCCTCCGACTCCGCTGCAGACCTCCCCAAGAAAGTGCCTACATGGAGGAGACAAATTATCATGTGGGTAAAAATAACTTCCACTCTACTTCTTTTATCTCTCTCTCTCTCCCTCTCTCTCTTTCTCTCTCTCCCTTTCTCTCTCTCTCTCTCTCTTTCTCTCTCTCTTACACGCACATATAAAGAGAGAAAGGGAAATAGCATGGCATAATAGTGTCATATATGCACACCGTAGATGGCTCCATTTTTTCACTTGGTTAAGTAGCTAGCTGACCATTATGACAGTTTTATTGGGCTCCCATTAGGTTTTACAACCTCCTCTAAAGTTCTGGATACATTGAGCCATTACATTGTACCTCTGGGGGCTTACTGGCACTGTATTCTACCTTTGGAGGCAGTGTTATAAAAAGAAAGCGGTCCGACACATGGCTCACTCAGTGAAATGGAAGGAAACTTATATGGATGTGTTGGTTTTCTACCTGGAGGACAGGGCCTTGGCTTTGCACTCCCTTTAGGACAATAGTGGCCTGCAGGACACACACCACCATGGAATTGACCCAGGGTTGAATTGCCAGGAAGTGGGGATGGTGATGTGGTATCTCCTGTAACTGAAACAATAGACCTTTATTGGATGTCATTACTCATTAGGTTAGTGAGTGAACCAAAAGGCCAGGGCCATTTTCCTCAATCCCAGGGAGAGAAATACTACTGAGATGAAGCAGTGGGCATTGGTAAATGTTCTGTGGAGACCTCTGCCGCACTGTGGAGTCAAAGGTCATGGAAATGTTAAATAAAAATAGAAGAGCATTGAGAGGAAATGCTGCACGGCACAGTATTTTTCAAGTTCATTGAAGATGACCCTTTTTTATATTACGAATACTATTTCCAGAATAACCAGTTGTGCATTCTGCCCTGCATTTATTTAACACTACATAAAGCGTGACAAGAATCAGCCTGTTACCTGTGGTATTACCCAAAGGTGTGGCCATTCTGGATCCCTCTCGGCAGTAGAAGCCTGGGTTGCAGAGCCCAGATGGGGAGGAGATGCCAACCTCAGCGCAGTAATGGCCGGGCAAACAGGACTGACATACTTCTACAGAAACTGCACCTGGAACAACAATAATACAATTCATATGTTTGGTCTGAATGATGAAAATGACAATTTGGGTCAAGTGAGATAATTCCACTTGAAGTGTTTTCAGTAATTGTTTTCTGATGAAGGAGGGTGGGAAATTCTTTCACTGATTACAAAATTTCACACTATACTTCACACTAAAGTCCATTATGTTCAAATGTCACCAACAATGCGTAATTATATAGTGTTTTCTGTCACCGTCTATGGAGCTGAAGGTGCCTGCAGGGCAGGGAACCATATAGCTGGTACCCTCAGGGCAATAGGACCCTGCAGAGCAGCGGCCTCCTGTTGGGCCCTCCTCTGGCTGGGCAGAAACAGAACCTTGGATACAGAGGTAACTAGGGGCAGCAAGATGATGAAGACAGAGACAATGAGGACGGGGATATGGGATGCAGGAAGTGATAGATGAGAAAAACAGAGGAGGACAGAGCATAAGGGAGGTTTAATTATAGACCAGAGAGACAGAATTAAACAGAAACAGGGTGTCATGTCTTTTATAGTCTATCTGTGAACATGATGAAGTATGTGTTCAGCTTGCTCATGTTTACCCAGGAGTGCAGGCCCCAGTGGGAGCAGCCAGTCCAGAGGAACTGCAATATCTCCCTGGAGGGCAGAGCTCACAGCCCGACTTATTGGACAACCCCATCTGCCTGCCGAAGGCACCAGCTGGGCATGGGAATGCTACACCAGCCTGCGTTCCTGTAGATAAATAGCGTATAATATCTACAGATGGTCCCAAACTAAACATCACAGAACAGTTTGTGAAGGCCGTCCTTATTTTGATTATGCTCTATAATGGCCATTTGCATAATTGGAAAGCCATTTACTGTTACAGCCACTTAATCAGGAGTACACACAAAACAAGAGCAATTTTCAACAATGTTTTGCGTGTAACACAGCACATTTTTAGCCAGTTAATCAACCTCACTGAGCCTGCAGCATCACTTGTGTCCCATATATCTGATAACACGATCTAGTAACAGTTTGCATTTGTCATGAATGTGTTAGAAAAGCTGCACTATCGTATCCTACCTGGTGGGCAGTAGTGTCCTTTAGGACACAGCGTGGGAGTGTGAGTACCAGACACATGCCCTGTGTCAGCATCCACCGAGCCAGCACAATAAAATCCTGCTGGACATTTAACACACTCTGCCTGTGGAGGGGTACATTACGCACATAATTCTTTTCTGCACAGTACAAATACAAAATTATGACTACAGATGTTCATGAATATCAACAGACATTTCGATCCTTGTGTCGAAGATGATAAAAGCGAAACTATGAACAATATTCAGTGCACACAGATGTTGACAGTGCTTTCAGGAGAGGCTTAACTAACCCATGATTTACAAGTCTAATACAGTGAGTCAATAGTGCTCTTTTAGATATGGTTTTATAGTTAAACATATTTTGCAGTCCAGTTACTGCAGGTTATTCTAATTGCATTCATTCTGCATGTTGCCTGTGGCACTGTGGGATATATCATCATATCATCCCCATTACCTGCCCAGGTAAATCCTGGTAGGTCCCTAACATGCAGGGCACCTGTCTATCAGACCCAGGTGGGCACATGTTTCCAGGTGAGCAGGGTATAGAGGTCTGCAGGCTGCTGTTTCCTCTGCCTGGGCAGTAAGAGCCAGCTGGACAGATATGAGAAGGGAAAGAGAGCCCTCTGGTGACACACAGGAAACCTACAAAACAAAAGGGAACACTGCTGAGCAGCTGCGCACACTGTGTGAAGGGATTATCCCCCAATAAATCAAGTTATGTAATGAAAGCTTTATCTTCCGGCAGATAAAAGACACAATTAAACTATAATGCGCGCAACGTAAATTAGTTCCAACCTGGAGGACAAGGCAGGCAGTCGGAGAGATAACTGTTTCTGGTTTTGTTGCTGTAGTGTCCAACGGGACAGGGCAGTGGTGCTGAGGAGCCCTCGGGACAGTAATGACCTTCAGGACATCTGTCACCTGTCATCCCTCCATCCTCTGGTGTGGGCGACCAGGCCCCAGAGAGGCAGTAGTACCCTGCACCACACTGGCCTGACGCAACACCCTTCCCAGGGGACGCACAGAAGGAGCCTAGTTTGATGGAAATAAAGAGTGAAACTGAGTGGAATGGTTAATTACCCTGAATTACCCTGCAAAACAGAAAATGTAGAACAAGCACTGCATATTATATTAATCCCAGCTGTGGTGTTGCATTTGTTTGATGATTTTGCTGCTTGTGATTACAGCTGCTTTTTGAAGTTCACTTATTTTGTTAATGTAGTGTTTAATAACCATTTACAATCAAGGTCGCGCTAAACTCTGAGTTAAGTAATTGACCTTAAGGACACTCATGATTATTAGCAGTAAATGGAGTGTGACCTGGAGGGCAGGGCATGCAGTCCTTGGGTTGTGCCATGCGAGTGTGGGGGTTGAGAGATCCAGCTGGACACGGGTACTGATGTTTGGACCAGGTCCCAGATGGGCAGTAATGACCCACTGGACACTCATAAGTCCTCGACAGGGAGCCATTACGTCTGCCAGGACAATAAAAACTATCCAGACAAAACAAGGATGGAATAATTTAGTGCTTGGCTGCTGATGGTGGCCATGAGGCATCAATATGCATGTCTGTGTGTGTATGTATGCAAAGCCAGGGGGCAAATTTCAACATGTGCTGTATGTAGATTCACTTACTTTGCTTATATGTGTCTACATGTTTACAGTGTAAAGTGACTGTGTGAGGTTGATAAGCGAGTTTACCCCTGGGGACAGGTGCTGCAACTGGCTCTGCCATCTTCTGTACTGATGGTTCCCGCGGGGCACTGCTGAGGAGCCACAGAGCCCTCAGAACAGTAATAACCTGGTTGTGTGAAGGCAAGAGTCATGGAAGAGACGCACACTCAAATGCACACAGAGCCATCCACAGGGAACAGAGTTTGATTTCCAGTGTCAACAGAGCAGCTACTTATGTTTAGCCCTATTAAATAGAAAGAAGGTTTTGTTTACCTTTCCACCAAGCTAGCTCTGGGCTTATGTGAATATTCAATTTAAGTGTGTGCTTCACATTTTGTTTTGTATTCCATATAATGCTTTGCAAACCTTTTTGCTGCCGTTTCCTGTATAAAAAGTAGCAACATGATTATATTATCCCCGTGTTGGTTTTTTTTTTGTGCATTTTCTTTTGATGGTTTATAAATGAGATAAAGATTCTGAGAGATCTCATCACCTTTTGGGCACGGTCCTCCCTGGCTGTCTCTCAGAGGAGGGTCAGGGCGGTCTGCACCACCAAGACAGAAGAAACCCTCCCAGCATTGTCCTGAAGGTGCTGAGAGCCCCGCAGCGTCACAGTAGTAACCAGGGAGACACGGCTGGCAATCCTCCTAAGAGAGGAAATAAGAGAGACAAAAAGAGACGGAGGAAGAGGGAGAAACAGAGAGGAGGAGGGGGGGCTGTGAGAAAATGGAAAAAGAGAGAGTGCCCCATTGCAGCATTGATTTGGGATTAGATATTGATTGGCTGTCACAATGAAAGACAGAGAAAGCAATGTAAGTTACTGGATATACTGTGATGGTGTACTGTAGCAGGACTGTGAAACATTTTATTTCATGAAGTTGCTTTTCATTAAATCTTGGTCGGTCAATCAAGACAAACAGGGCCAAGCCAGTTATGTGACCGGCTGTTGCTTCGATCTGAATGAATATATACCATATTTTGTCTGCATTTATATTCATATGATTATATAATTTGAGTCTCATGAATCACAAAATGTTATAAGAACATTTAGTGGTTGGATGTTTGGAAAATTACTAAACAAAATTTGACATTTCCAAGCAAAATGACATCGTGCTGTAACTTTGAGGAGAAAGACTCGTTCAATCATCGGTCAAGGAGACATGTGAGTGTGATACTGAGTCAAAGCAACCTTGGAGACTAATTTGGTGAGATTAGAGAACGTTCCACGTGGACAGGGCAGAGGATGGACGGTGGCCTGGGGGCAGTAATGACCAGCAGGACATGGCCCTCCCTCTTCTGGTGAGAGACACAGAGAACACCGCTGCTGTTTGTCAACTGTCTCAAAATAGAAATACTGATGGAGAACCACTGCCTCAGATAATTACAAGGCTGACAACTTAACTAAATGTGGTATTAACTTACTATACTATACTGTATTTCCTAAAGTACATGATAAAGATGTTTGCTTACCTGCAGCCTCTGACAAAGGTTGTGGAGAAGTGTTTCCGTATGAGCAGTAATATCCTTCCTGACATGGTCCAGTGACAGCTGTGCCATTTCTGGAAGAGCAGTAATGACCGCCGTCACACTGCTTGCACTGAGTGACAGACCAGTAGCCAGGATCAGGACCGTAAGTTCCCTCTGGACAGCCTCTCAAGTCGAATCCAGTCCCTTCAGGGCAGTAAAAGCCTGCAGGCCGCAGAGCAGACAGAAGGAAATGCATAAATATGAAGGATGCAAAAACATACAAGCTTTTATCACGAGTCGTTTGTTTCAGTTCTTTGGTGAATATTTTGCTTGATAATTTATATTTAATTCATTAGCATAAAACTGACAGTATACTTTTAAGGTTTTAAGGGCATACAAATCAGCAAGCCACACACCTGCAGGACATAAGTAAAGCGAGCCAGACACACAGTACCAGCCTGGCACACAGGGCTCACACTGAGTAGCATGTGTAACAGCAACATATGTCCCCGGATCACAGGGCACAGGTTGAATAGCTCCCTCTGGGCAGTAGTAACCCTCAGGACAAGGTCCCCCTGTAATTCCATTAGTAGGGGTGGAAGTGACGGCTCCCTTCACACAGTAATATCTGCATACAAAATATGAGAGCAAGAAAACGCTAAAGCAGGATGAAACCACCATTTTGTGTACATTTTATATAACAACAAGGACAATATTTATTAAGGTCATTGGAGTCTGGTCTACCCCCCACTGCAGGGTCCACTAGGTTTAGTAAGGCCGGCAGAGTCGCAGTAAAATCCCCCCAGACAGGGTTTGCAGTCCTCCTGGTTACGCAAGCCTGAGCTGTTTGACCAGCTTCCTTCAGGGCATGCCACCGGAGCTGTGGTGCCTGTGAAGACATCACAAACACCAACTCACAATTCAACTCTGGTAAACAGAGGAGTATGCAGAAAACTACTAAAAATAGCAGGAACAATGCAGTTATTGGGTTCATCAATGCAATATACTGTAACCATTTTTTGCACACTGTAAGCAGAAGTTTAGCGCAACTAAATAAGTGAGACAATCAAGCTACCCAGAAGAAAGGCAGAGTTTACCCTACAGTAGCAATTTTAAAGCATGGATCAGTGCCCCAGGTCAGAGAGAACAAGTGTACAAATTAATTTGAAGAAAACTGTATCAGAAGTTATGAGATAAATGTTGTCAGCACTCCCCGTAGGCCACCAAATGGTAATTAGCATGAATAAAACATTGTAGCCCTGGAATATAATGGGGTAGAATGTTAATAGCCTCACACAGTATAAATTTGGTTACATTAGCCTATAAAACAAGCTGCATCAGCGTTGGATTACGATTATTATTAAAACCACTATTTGTGGAAAATGTGGACCCCCTGCAACTTGATACATTTCAGGCATTAAAACTATAGTGGCACTGAAGCAGCTGCTGGCTGATT